ACATGGAAGGAGTGAACATTGATCCAGAAGATATCATGGCCCTTTTCACAGTTCTGCAGTTTGCTGATCACGTGACAGCTCTGAATGTCTCCCGCTGTAACTTGTCCAGCGCACATTCACGAGTGCTGAAACAAGTTCTGGACAAGTCAGTAGAAGTGAATCTATCCGGAAATCGTCTCAGTGGAGTGCTCCTGGAAAACATTGGCACCGCGCTTTCCACATCGACACAGCCATATCCACAGATTGTGAGTATGAGAGAGTCATCACTTACCGGCGGTGCAAAAGACGGTGCTGCGCTTGCCAAGTGTGTAGAGCACTGCAGTGTTACAGAGCTATCCTTGACAGGCTCTGGGCTGGGCAATGTCGGACTGGCGTCCTTCGTTGCCAGTCTAACACCATGCGACCATCTCACCAGTCTCTCCCTTGCAAACTGCAATCTTCAGTCCAGTTGTGGCTCCAACCTAGCCACACTTCTTGCCAAGTTGCCATGTTTGGAATCACTTTGGCTGCATGATAATGCCTTGTGTGACGAGGACGTCACTTGTATGCTGACAGCACTCGCCCATCATTCTGCTATTCAGAATCTATTCCTGGAAAACAACCAGCTCACCAACAATCTGGCAGCAGACATCATTGACTGTTTCGAATCAAGACGCAATAGTTCGGCGGACATCACTGATGAACACGACGGCATGGCATGCGATGCAATCATGGCCGAGTCTATGATCTACCTGAATGGAAATGACGTCACTGTCCACCTGCTCGACCAACTTGCTGCCTCTGGTTACTGTGGTGATGACAGCGTTGACATTGGTAGCCATTTATTCACCAGAACATTGATTCACGTCGTCTCGGCTCAGCAACTAGTTGAGGAGCACGATGGTGAGCTACAGGGTATGATGCACGACTTTACCATGTCTTCTCTTGGACACATCCTCAGCAGCAGCAACAGCAGCAGCGGCGGCACGGACATAACAACTCTGGATATTGACGGCTGCGGAATTACCAACAATGGTGTTATGGCGATTTCTTCAGCTGGCCTTTCGGCAAACACTACTCTGTCGTACATCAGTGTGTATGGCAACAAGATACAGAGTTTGGGTGCCGCTCTGTTGCTACAAGCACTGTCACCGCCAACACGTGTATCGGCAACACTGCGGGCATTGGATCTGGGATGCAATCCCATCTTCAAAGAACCCACCGGTAATGCATCGTATCACCTGTTACTGGAAGCATTGGCTCTCTGTCGACAGCTGCGCTTCTTGTCCCTCAGCGACACAGGCATGACGGATGAGATCGGCATCGCCATTCTGCAATGCTTCAAGACGCACGCACACATTGGCTGGCTGGATATGTCCTGCAACAGGCTTGGCGACGGCGCAATGCATGCGCTAGCTGATGCCAAGGACGTCAACAGCAGCTTAAAGCTGATCGCTTTGGAGAACAACCATATCAGTGACGCTGGCCTCGAGTGTCTTATCGTATCGGACAACATCATGGCTATGGATGGAGTGCACCTGTACGCTAATGTTTGCTCAACTAATGCCGCGGCTATGCCACCGCCGTTATTCAACACCCAATTGCCGTACAATACTTCCACCATTCTCCAGTTCGTTTGCCAGTCATGTGATCCAATTGCTCATCCATAGCCGCTGCAGTGCAGCGTGTATACGTGAGTTGAGCAGGAAATGGAATGAAGGATTGAAATTCTTGAGTCATTAGTCTAAGACATTGAGAAACAGTATAGCATGTGCTACAGTGCTTGCGACGACGAGCATGGTTATGCCAATGAAGGCATCATGATGGCAATGGAGAGCACAGTACCCCAGCAAAGAGGATAGGCTGACGGCAAAGAATACAAAATAATTCCACGAACAGCACAGTCTGCCAATAGTGTTCAGCAGATCTTGCCAATTATGTGACTTGCCACCCGCGCTGCTTGAACTATCACAGAGTTATTTTCTTTGACTGTAACACTTCTTGTATTGACTACTTTCCAGCCTGTATTGGATTGATGTGGGACTCAACGCCACCGTTGATACTTATACAGTGTACCAATATGACCGGCCTGCGGGCATGGTGTAGATGCCACTCTGCCACATTTCCTTTACATTAAATTTTGATTGACTATCGGATCTGCCATAGCTACTATGCTCTTTACAGTCTTCCATTCTACCTTATGCAATGTAGATGGTGACACAACTGCAACAAGAAATGGTCTTAGATACAGCCTGCGAGCAGGTATTTGCAAAATAAAATTTATAAACCCTTTCCTGATGACATCGATGCAGCTAATGGGATCAAGTTTCGGTCTTTGACCACTTTGCTGGTGGGCTAATCTACTCACCTCCCGCCGCTCCAGGAGCTGCATCTGCGCCTTTGATCTTTGCATGGTGGTGCATGGCGGCGTTTCTACGGCTGCTGAAAACTCAGTCTAACTGAGTCACATGTGAACCGTGACATTTTCCTTTTCTTTTCTGATGATAATAATCTTCCTCGTAATGACCATTTGTGCTTTTCAAATTCTTTTTTCTCTTCTTCCGTGGCTGGTCTCACTCTCTCCTCATTTCAATTGGCTGTCTTGACATGCTACGAGGTGCAGAAGTAAATAATAATAATAATGATGATAATCTGAGCAATGTCAAAAATTAATTTGGACTTCACGGAGAGTTTCAAGTGTTGAGTTTCGGTGAGAAAAGAGCAGTATGAGGCATGTGGCCTCTAATTTCCTAAAAATAGCATGAATAAAACTAATTGTGCACTCATAACCATGTATAAAACAATAATTACTAAAAAGAAAAAAATCCAGAACGTTTTCTCGTGACTATCATCAGTAGAACATCGTCACATGATAAGAATCACCAAAACAACCAGTTATATGGCTAGACTAATGATAGTAGAGAGGTTATGATGCACGTTTCTTTCGACGTGACGCGCAATTAAATTTCACGTCAAATTTGGCGTAAAACTCCAAATTTCGACGTGAGCTGCAGGTCACTCGCGTTGTTTTTTGACGCGCGAGCCAAATAACGCAAGCTGAACTTTCGCGTCACGTCAGAAATAACGTGCATCCTCTCTAGTCACGAGAAATCATTCTGGAATTCTTTTCATTTTAATTCTTGTTTTAACTCGGATACTGAGCCAATAAATATTTAAAATAGAAGGAACGACATGGAAACGGGTTGTGAAGCAAAGCAACTATCCACGACTGTAACAAGATACATGTAATAAGCAGTCAGAAAGTGCGATAACAGGGCACACAACTGACATGTATTGTTACTGAGCCACTAAACGACCTGAGACCTAACGGTTACCATGGTTACATGTAGCTCCCACACACCTCCAGTGCGCAAACCCAACAGCCTTCCAGCTTGGAAGGACCACAATACTGTCATGCATGAGGAGTATTTAGATAACGTGATTGCCACTTATTGGCGTCCGGTTTTGTACAATTCGTTTTCGCAAAGCTTCTCCCTTTCTTAATCTCTGATATTGCTGACCCACCCAAGTGTTAGTTGGGTGGTGTGTTGCTTCAAGTGCTGCTTCGAATTGTAGTAGCGCACTTGAGCCGGAGATGTGTGTGGGAGCTAGTAGTAGGTCTCAGGTCGTTGAATGTCTCGGTCACATGTCAGTTGTGTGCCCTGGTTATCAATCAGATCGACGTAGCTATTCCAAACTCTTCGGAACTACTCCACCTCTCCCATCGGATGAGGTTGTGGAGTTTCGAGGTTGTTTCGAGGAGTTTCGTTTTTCTGAAGAGGCCAATAAATAAGGAGAAGAAAAAACCACTCCCCGAAAAGTCAAAGAGTGACGAACGTGCCCTAAGTAACTGGTGACCGTGTCATCATGAGAACAAGGTCTACCTTCATAACTAACCTGTTATTGCTTTGTCCGCAGCGTCGCGTGAATATTTTCTTCATAGTTACTAGTTATGATGGTCTTGTTTGCATGATTGCATGTCTGTTCTCCCCGTGCATTTTAGCACCTGAACCTGTCAGAACATTTTTTTTCTCGTGCATTTCCACCACCTTTTTTTCTAGCTTCTGGATAGCCTGAAGAAATTCGCATCTTGGAGTTGGACAACATAATTATGTCCATAATCTCCTTCGTATGTATCGAAATGGTTACTGAGTATACAAAAACAGATCCAGCCATCATTCCCTACAAGTAGGGGTTAGCGGATTATGCTCGGGAAATGACCAGATTACGCTCTAGCGGATGCTCGCAGCATGCTCTACAAAACAGCCACTTACGCTTTTAAATTAGGTTACGCTTCACCAAAAAGACCAAAAGAACAGATAATCGTCATGAAAAAAGGTCTCAGGCCATTGTCATGATGTGGGCTGGGAGCTTTGCCGTGGAAGTACAAGACAGTAATATGCAAGAGGAATACCAAATTCACAAGCAAACGTTGAACTTTTGGGAGATGTCCTATTGTGGCTGCAAAATATCATTCCAAATCGACAAGAAGCGCTATGATTGTATTCACTATTGTCCTTCAATAGCAGATGTGTATAACAGCCTCATTGGGCATCTGCCCTTGTTTTTCGGATGCCATTTCATGCTCCTTCTCAAAAAGGACCTGATTGTGCTAAAAATTATGACGGCATAATCCGCTTACCCCTACCTACAAGCGTATATGCACCTGAGTCGACCTGACCCCTGCGGTTATTCACTCTCGCTCTGTAGAACCATGTACAGTACATTTACCTTTACATGTACACTCATTGAATGTATCATACGGTCCTCTTACCAGATTGAACACAGTGAATGGGTGGTGTTGGACTCGCATAGGAGTTACCCATGCATGTGATGCTATTCATGGTGTGCTCGACGATTGGGAAGCCGACCAAGGGAAGCCAATGGACATGCATTCAGGATGTCAGGTACAAGATGGTTAACCCCGCATGGTTCAGTTCAGGCACCATCAGACTCCTACGAGAAGTTGCCAAGCTGACCGGTCGCATACCGGTAGCTGAGATTTTGCACTAAAAGCAGACTTGACACGCCCAACGCTATTTCAAATAAGTGTGGACACTGGCAGCATGCAACGGCACCAGATAAGCCTGAGGTAATGGCATCTTCGGCACGTGCATGCCAAACAAGAAGATCAATAAATCACCATACGATGAGTGCAGGGGGAAAGGTTCATCAAAGCATAATAAATGATGTTGGGACCTGGCAGTGGCAAGATTCAAGTTAACGAAATAGTCACACACACATGCCAGTTTCCAAAGCCAATGGGTTCGCTATCATCCGACGAATGTCTCAAGATACGTATAGCCAGAGAGATCCTTGGATTGCTTTGCAACTTCCAGCGGTAGGTCATCAACAGAGCCAGATACTGGAATAGACAATGTGCCTGGAGCTAATCCATCACTGCTTGCTTTGATCACAATGTTTTCAACATCGGCACACTCGCCTGCTTGTACCTTGGCTGGTCCTTGGTCTACATCGATTGCGAGGCACATATCATGATTGTTACTGACACAGTCGACGGTTACTTGGAATATGCCACGGGCATGACCTCCATACACCGGTATGTGATCACTCTTGGCATTCTGATGGCAATAGTTATCTCCATTACCGACAGCAATTAGCCTGCCTGGACCCGAGACAACGCTGAAGGTGATGTTGACAGTTGAGTCGGTGACGACAACACCGTTCGCATCCACCACACTTGCACCCACTAGCGCAGCATCGTGCCCATCGAGAACGAGTTTGGTGCCAGTGCCTGTTGTCGGAGATGGTGCATCGAGTGTCAACTGCACTGTATGAGCTTCCTTGGCGGCAATGAGAGCATGGCTGGATGTGACCTTGCCGCTTGCATCCCTGCCTACAGCCGTGACGTTGCTGGCTGTAACCATACTTCCACCGCCTACCCAGTTCTCATCTGCACCAGTACATCTGCTCAGATCCACATTGCCAATCCAGCATCCATTCTCTTTCTCCGCATACTGCCACACGGTACATGTCTCCTTCGCAGCACAGCAAGCCGCTTCACAGTCGGATGCTGAATTGGCCTTGGAGTGATTGAGGCCTATGCACTGTACTCCTGTGAGATTGTGTGTGTAGTTACAAGTAGCCGGTGTGCTGGTTGTCATGTTGAATATCATGGCTTCGCCGGTGTTTGTATTCTCCTGGTGGCCGGTCGACTTGCCGTCCACAAACACCTCCACCGACGCACCCGACGAGAACACCGCGACTGTATTACCAATCTGAGTCAGTAGGTCCAGTATGCGTGTCATGTCCACAGCGGGGTATAGAGGTCGACCAGGATCATCCATGGGTATCATAGCCAACCAGTTTAGGACATACCAGTATGCATGAGGCTTGGGGAAGCCGGCCAGGTCAAAGTTGCCAAACGAACAGGACACACGTGGCCAGCCAAAGCTTTCTCCATAGTAGTCAAACAATGTCCATACACCCAGGCTGCCGGCAACGTACGGGAGCAGCCCGGGCGAGTTTTGGTCATGCATGCATGTTGTGGTTGCATCACGACTGAGCCTCTGTGTTTGGCAACTACAACACTCAGACAGGACAGTCGGCACCTCGGGATTCTTCTCATGAAATCCGATGAATGACTCATTGTGTCCATGCGACATACCCTGTATATCAATGCCGTCCGTGCCTCCGTTGGCTGCTGTCGGCCGCTGAGGGTCTAGGGATTTGGCTGTGGCACGGAATGAGAGGCCGGTTTGGTTTGTGACTTGTTGACACTCCACTTCGTTACAGAAACTCCACACAACTATGCTTGGGTGGTTGCGGTGCGACTTAACCATATCGTGCATTTCTCCAACATACTTCATTCCGTAGTCTCTGTTCTCATCCCACACTAGTATGCCTACAGCGTCCAGGAACTCATACAGAACGGGCAGGTACGGATTGTGCGACATTCTCCAGAAGCTACCACCTACTGCCCTTGATGCTTGCGCACGGAAAAGGTGTACACGATCTGGTATTGCCGTGCCAACACCTGTGAAGCTGTTGTGATGTGAGAAGCCACGGAACTTCAGAGCTTTGCCATTCAGAGCAAATCCCGATGCACCACTCCAGCTAGTTTGACGAAATCCAACTGTCAAATTTCTGCTGTCGACAACACTTTCATCACTTGCGTTCACTAACTCTGCTTTCACCGTATACAATGATGGCTCCTGTATCGACCATGGTGTCACCTTGGTAACGGACAGTGTCATGGAAACAATCTGTGGTGTCCCAGGTTGGATAGAGATATGACTGGTGGTGTTTGTGGACATTACTCCACCACTAGGGTCATAGAGAGTGAATGAGACTGTTAGTAACTGACTTGCACTGGAGAACGTCTCCACTTCTACAGATGCATGAGCTGTTCTGGATTGCAGGTCAATTTCTGGTGACACAAATACTCCACTATGTACAAAGTGTGTGTGACCAGTGGCGATGAGATATGTTTTGCGATAGATTCCTCCACCCTCGTACCAATGACCACTACCGAATGATGCATCCACACGCACAGCAATGACATTGACAGCAGCAGTGCCATACTCTAAGCTGGTGATGTTGTCTAGTCGTACTGTGAATCCGGTATATCCACATGTGTGTGTCTGTACATACTGACCATTCACCCAGATCTGAGCTACGTGGAACACACCTTCAAAGTAGATTTCAATGTACGAACCCTGCCAGTCCTGAGGAATATGAAATGATTTGCGATACCAGGACACATTCCTGGATAATTGACCATGGTGAGGGTCAGCAGAATGAACAAAGTCTTGTTCAACGGAGAAGTCATGGGGCACATCAACTATTCTCCAGTCAGAATCGGTGAAGTTCTTGGCAGCAAACTTGTAATCTGTTCGCGGAGGTTTTGCACTCTTTCGCTGTCCACCATGGGGCAGTTTCTGTGGCATGGTTTCGGAGCAGACTGCATTGGCTTGGCCGTGAAAGCAGGCATAGCCCTGTTGCCAAGCCATGCACAGAGGGTCGTACGCACACGAAACCATGCAGTCATAATTCGTGTACCTGTTCGGGTTGTGCTCCATGTTCGAGCAGCCGTATCCAGAAATGTCCGTGAACGTTGTGTCGCCGGGTCCTGGTGCGCCGTCGGGTGCGTGACCGAAACGAAACCTCCAGCCGTAGTCGAAGGTTACGTGTTGTCGTGGTTGTGCTAATGCTGCTGGTGATGACGGCTGCATGTTGTTGGTCTGGTCGGCCACTTTTGAGAACTTGGTGGCAAACGAGTTCGCATGTTTAGTGCTAGCCAGCAGAAGAAGAAGGGTGACAATCACTGCACCCTTACTAGCCTTAGCCCTGGTGAGGTCCCTCACCGCGGCCATACCCCTAGTGTTTCTGTTAGTCCTGATAACCTAGCCGTGTGAACACTACTCACTACTCACTAGCCGCAAACACTGGAGTGCTATTTCCCTAGAACGAAATGCAGGCAGCAGTGTAGATGAAACTAAAGCTTGAATGCATATCCTACCGCTGCTGCTATTTCTTTATAATTGATTGTAAATAATATTAAATTAATAATTTACGACAGTTTAGTTCTAGTGCTGCTAGTGCTAGAGCTAGCATGACTGACACGTGAGACCGGGTGATCTGGAGGCTCGGAACGGGCTGTCTGGAACACGTCTAGTATTACGTACAAATCGTCCTAACTCAGCTCAGAGTCAGAGAGATCCCACCCATGCCACCATACGTAGATCTACCCAATGCGCCAAACTGAGTCTGTAAACTGACATCCATCAGGCCAGGGGCTAGGAGTAGGAGTAGGAGTCGCATTGCCTATATATGCCGACGGTGGATTGAATCACATTTCTTGACAGAATGATGATCGAGCTGACTGGACGATTACTATTAATTTTTAGCCGACGTCTTTCTCGCTCGCATATCTTCTTAGTCTCTGGTCCGAATTACATTTTGTCTCTTTCAGACCTGAGCTAGGCAGAGGAAGAGTCGTGCACATCGAATCGTTAGAGCCACAATGGTGGACAGGGTAATTGTTCTTCCCTTGTACGGGGCTCTCTGCTTACTCCTTTCGACGAATTTGGTCAGCTCTAACCCTGCTCATTTTTCGAAGTCCACTGAAAACGTGGCGGCTAGCAATGCCGATGGATGGACGGCAGTGGCTGCACCACGACACCATGTAACATTCGACTACGGCTGGAGGTTTCGTTTCGGCCATGCACCCGATGGAGCACCGGGGCCCGGCGACACCACGTTCACGGATATTTCTGGGTATGGCTGCTCGAACATGGAGCATAACCCGAACAGGTTCACTCCCTATGACTGCATGGTGGGATGCGCTTACAACCCGGAGTGTATGGTTTGGCAACAAGATAACTCAGGCCGCAGGTGCTATCATGGACAGGCCAATGCCGAGTGCTCCAAGTCAACCAAGCCGCAGATCGATAACGGCGGACAGCGCAAGAGTGCTCCACCTCTTCGCACGGAGTACAAATTTGCCGCAAAGAACTTCACCGATTCTGACTGGAGAGTTGTGGATGTGCCGCATGACTTCGTGGTGGAAGGCGACTTCGTCCAGACCCCAGATTCCCACCACGGCTACCTATTGAGGAATGTGTCCTGGTATCGCAAATCATTCCATATTCCGCAGGACTGGCAGGGTTCGTACATAGAGATCTACTTTGAAGGTGTGTTCCACGTAGCTCAGATCTGGGTGAATGGTCAGTATGTACAGACACACACATGTGGATATACAGGGTTCACAGTACGACTAGACAACATCACCAGCTTAGAGTATGGCACTGCTGCTGTCAATGTCATTGCTGTGCGTGTGGATGCATCATTCGGTAGTGGTCATTGGTACGAGGGTGGAGGAATCTATCGCAAAACATATCTCGTTGCCACTGGTCACACACACTTTGTACATAGTGGAGTATTTGTGTCACCAGAAATTGACCTGCAATCCAGAACAGCTCATGCATCTGTAGAAGTGGAGACATTCTCCAGTGCAAGTCAGTTACTAACAGTCTCATTCACTCTCTATGACCCTAGTGGTGGAGTAATGTCCACAAACACCACCAGTCATATCTCTATCCAACCTGGGACACCACATATTGTTTCCATGACACTGTCCGTTACCAAAGTAACACCATGGTCTATACAACAACCGTCATTGTACACTGTGAGAGCAGAGTTAGTGAACTCAAGTGATGAAAGTGTAGTCGACAGCCGGAACTTGACAGTTGGATTTCGTCAAACTAGCTGGAGTGGTGCGTCGGGATTTGCTCTGAATGGCAAAGCTCTGAAGTTCCATGGCTTCTCACATCACAACAGCTTCACAGGTGTTGGCACGGCTATACCGGATCGTGTACACCTTTTCCGTGTGCAAGCATCCAAAGCAGTTGGCGGTAGCTTCTGGAGAATGTCGCACAATCCATATCTGCCCGTTCTGTATGAGTTCCTGGATGCTGTTGGTGTACTGGTGTGGGACGAAAACAGAGACTACGGCATGGAGTATGTTGGAGCCATGCATGACATGGTCAAGTCACATCGCAGTCATCCAAGCATTGTTGTGTGGAGTTACTGCAATGAATACGAGTGCGGGCAAGTCACCAACCAAACCGGCCTGTCATTCCGTGCCGCTGCTAAAGCATTGGATCCGCAGCGACCGACGGCCGCAAACGGCGGAACCGACGGTCTTGATGTGCAGGGAATGTCACATGCACGGAACGAGTCGTTCATCAGCTTTCACAAGGGAAATCCTGACATGCCGCTTGTACTGTCAGAATGTTGCAGCTGCCAGACTCAGCGACTGCGCCGTGAAGAAACGACTACATGTATGCATGACCAAAACTCACCAGGACTTCTTCCATACGTTGCTGGTAGCTTGGGTGTGTGGACACTGTTCGATTATTATGGTGAGAGTGGTCATTGGCCTTCCGTGACGTCTTCTTTCGGCAACTTTGACCTTGCCGGTTTCCCCAAGCCTCATGCATACTGGTATGTCCTAAACTGGTTGGCTATGATACCCATGGATGATCCTGGTCGACCTCTATACCCCGCTGTGGACATGACACGCATACTGGAACTACCGAGTCAGATTGGTAATACAGTCGCGGTGTTCTCGTCGGGTGCATCGGTGGGGGTGTTTGTGAATGGCAAGTTGACCGACCGCAAGGAGAATACAAACACGGGTGAAGAGTTGACCCTGAAGGTCACAACAAGCACACCGGCTAGTTGTAACTACACACATAATCTCTCAGGAGTACAGTGCCACGGCCTGACTCGTGCTCCTAAAGCTCATTCGGCATCGGATTGTGAAGCGGCATGCTGCGCTGAGAAGGAGACGTGTAAAATATGGCAGTATGCTGCCAATGACACTGGCTGCTGGATTGGCGATGCCGCTCTCAGCACCTGTACACCAAATGATGTCTGGGTAGGGGCTGGGCTAGCGTCTGGCATTGCAAATGTCACAGCTGTAGGCATGGACGCAAGCGGCAAGGTTACATCCAGCCATGCTCTCATTGCGGCCAAGGAAGCTCATGCAGTGAAGTTGACACTCGATGCACCATCTCCGACAACAGGCACTGGTACCAAACTCGTTCTCGATGGACACGATGCCGCGATGGTGGGCGCCAGTGTTGTGGATGCAAACGGTGTTGTCGTCACCGACTCAATTGTCAACATCACGTTCAGCGTTGTCTCAGGTCCAGGCAGGCTCATAGGGGTTGGCAACGGAGATAACGAATGTCACCAAAATGCCAAGAGTGATCACGTGCCAGCGTATGGAGGTCATACGCGAAGCATATTCCAAGTCACAGTTGACTGCGTCAGCGAGAATCGTGATCTTGCCATTGCAATCGATGTAGACCAAGGACCAACAAAAGTGGTCGATGCCTGTTCTAATATGGAGCCTATCGTGGTCAAGGCAAGCAGCGATAGGTTAGTCGCAGCCACATTAACTATTCCAGTGTCAGGCTCCATCGAGGACCTTCCCGTGAAAGTTGCACGCCAAGCCAGCACTCAATCTCTAGAGGCGTATTCCTATCTGGAATCCTTTGTGGGATAACTAACTCAGCGTGCTATTTATCAAGGTAAATACTGACCTGCACTGGTACAGCCAGTCTTCGGCAGTATAACACGCAAATGGCTGCCATGGTTCAGCCTTCTTCTATTCCCAAATTGTGTTTCCTTTTTCCTAGTGGATCCTCTTTCTTGGTGCTCCTTTTCTGAAGTACCGTTAGCTGAGGAATCATACCCTGAATACTGATTTTTTCAAACAGCCTTTACTAAGTGCTGCACGCACTGTTTATTTTGCCATTGTACCAGTACCAGAACATTCCTCCAATATTCTGTGCCCTAGCAGAACTCTTTCCGCTGTTTCGTTTGCAAGGGCAGTGTGTCCGTTGGAAACTTACACATTTGCTCTGAAGTAGTTGACTGTTGGTATTGGGATCTGGTTGTCTCTGCTTGTATTGTATAAATCTCTCCCACCAAGGAAACTATGCATTCAGTTTTGGTGCTACCTTTTCGAAAACAGGGAGGCACAGTGAATTGGTCAAAGACCATGACTGAGATACGCGAGGTACATGGTTCAAGCCCTGCCTGGGAGCGGGTTTTTCCAGCCGTGCTGCTGCCCACAGTCAACTGGAAACTTGTGGCAAGGCACAAGGGGTACATGGATGCGGCTAATGGGGTTTACGACACTTGTGCCAGTGGTTGTGAAACTTATCTTTTCGCCCACACCGTTAGGCGTTGCATCTGCCACTGGGTTTACCGGGTGTTAGCGGTCGTCGTGACTCGCGAGTACCCTGTGGGAACGGATGCGATAGCATACTTTTGACTTGAAAAATTACTTTGAAAACACGGATCACTATGGCCTACTACCGCCACCAGGGCATCAACAGCAGCATCAGTGGAAGGTTTATACCTGGTGGGCGTTAGAGGAGAGGAGAAACCGATACGAAAGGTTTGCAATGATAATATTTAAGAATACACTACTCTGAATAGACTTTGAAATTGAAAAAAACGCCTCCTGCTCCAACTGTTGACTGTCTATGCTTCTTTTGGCCACCTCCTCCACGGTGGATTGACGAGCTTGAAGTCCCGGTTTAGAGAAGACAGGGTCTCCATTTCAGATCTGCAAATGAGCACACAACAATCATGTAAAACAGGCAGCTCGTACCAATCATGAGTAGACACTAGACCGTAGACGTGTTGAAGCTATCATCAGTGTGAAGGTTAGACATGCAAAGAGCAGATACATGACAAACATGTCAGGGTAGATTACTTACGAGGTCAGTTCGAAATCGAAGATGCCAGCGTTCTCTTGAAGTCTCTCACGTCGCAGCGAGCGGATCAGCACTGAACAGCCACGCTGCACACCCCAGCGCAGCAGAACCTGTGCAGCAGTCTTGCCGTGGCTCTTGCCAATGGATAGGACCTGGAAGAGAACACAATCCATGTGTTGGTGTAAGGAAACGATGACCTGGGACTAGGCCCACGAATTCTCATGGCTTTGTTTCCTGTATTTTCGGTGTCTTTGTTGTCCTGAACGGCACAAGCGAAGTCTGCAAACCCGCTTACATTGCGAAGGTGCTAATAGTAAAACGTAATCATGAAAATTAATAATATAGGCCCTGTCGTGACATGGAACTGATCTGAAATGATGTGTGTTAGCAAGTTGATGCAGGACATGGCTGTAAAATGGTAGCCAATGAAACCGTCGGGTACAGCGCTGCAATTATTCACACAACTGCAGACGGCACTTGTGTACAAGGCTGTACGGTGCAGTGTGCCGGGTTCATTCCGAAGGTCAATTCCATAATTCTTTGGCTAATACCGTAAATCGATGGCAAGTGCTGATCATTTTTGTTGAATAGAGTTTCCATTGCTTGCTGGTACATGTGCCCGACAATAAAGGGAACTGTACCTCAACTTGTACTATTTGCACTGACCTTCTCATTTTGCATCAATGGTTCCAGTTTGACTCCGGCTCGGCGAGGATTGCTGCAAACACAAGTGAGAATCATGCCATAACAGAACAGTTCCCACATGAGACCAGGTGTAGAACCGTAGTTATGGAGTATGATTTTAGAGTGGAATCAGGGCCCTGGCAATAGTGCCGATTTACATGGAAATATGCTAGGTGAATCCAGGAGGAATGTCACCACGCTGTTCACTGGTTGATATCCAAGTTTCAATGACATGTCAACATGCAGCAAATTCAGTCTACTGTGAAGTGACAGCAACTACGCTTGCTAGTACCACACCAGTACTACGAACAGTCAGGGTACGGCCGCGATGATGTCCAAATGAGATCAGATTCACCGCCAATCAAATCTACCAAGCCTTTTTACATACCTGCCAACCTTTGCAAACCTGAGATCAGGACAATGAGATACCTACACATAGGTGTGGAAATGTGTACAGATGTAGCTGCGAGGCATGCGGCTAATGCACTTTTGGGTGCCTATTACCACCCTCGATATTGGGACGGTCCCGTTTTACCACCCTCGATATCGGGACGGTCCCGTTTTGCCACCCTCGATATCGGTACGGTCCCGTTTTACCACCCTCGATATCGGGACGGTCCCGTTTTACCACCCTCGATATCGGGACGGTCCGGGCCAAATCGGGATGGTTGGTAGGTATGCTGTTATTCTGCAAATTTATAGACGTGTCTGATGTGATATTTATAGACGTGTCTGATTTAGCGACTGAACTTTCCACCACCTCAAATGACTTTGAACAGGACTCTACTGGTAAGTAAGTTCTGTTTAGCAAAGCCTAGCTTGGTGTAACATCATTTCTATATTGTCTGTTTAGCAAAGCCTAGCTCGGTGTAACATCCTTGCTGCACTTACTCGGGGTCAACTTCATTGAGGAAGTATGGGTTAGCGAGTGATGTGTACCCGGTAACCACAATGCTCTCCTTAGCACAGTACTCGACCAGAGCAGGGCTGGAATTGTACGGATGTAGTTCAACCTACATGCACAGACGAGGCAAGGTAACAACCTTGCAGCCATCAGTTCACAATGTATAGCGCACACAGATAGCTAGTGTCACTGGTATTACAATGGTTACAGCGAAACGCCTCGAGCGCTTTCTGACATATCTACACAAGAGCATAACACAACTGATCCTAAACGAATACATGCAATTTTGCAGCGAGATCTCAAGGCCCTAAATCCTCCCTACGGCACTGATTGCCACATTACCTGGTTGACAGCGGGTCGAATCCGTGCATACGTGAGCAGGTCCTGGATCTCGGACACAGCAAAGTTGCTGATGCCAATGGAGCGGGCAAGACCTTTGTCGACCACCGTCTAAACGAAAGGAAACAATAGCATGGGTCCAAATAGAAAGAAATTTAAGCTAGGTCTTCCAGTATGACACCTCCAACATAAAGTGAGCTGACAAAATGTGCTACCAAGAGTTGGATGTTTGCATATAAAGTGAAGCACAGTGAGGAATACCTATATGCTATATGCTATAGCACAAGCAACCCGATGGAAACACCTCTAATATTACATCTGATGAAAGATATTCACACCCACTAGTTTGATCAGATGCTCATACATGTCCACGTGCCCAGCTCGTCCAGCAATCATCAGAGATTCACTCACGCTTACACACAAACACGTACCTATGACGCACAGTTGCTTGCGCTTACCTCCATACCGGCCCAGGTTTCCTTTACGGTGACTTGGGCGTACGGCGAGTCGCCACCTGTCTCATCAAAAATCATACAGTTAACCGCCATCACCTCTTCGCTGGTTTCCGCTGGGAAAGCTTCAGGAAAGTGTACAAGGTAGAGATCCAGGTACTGCATTGTACAAGGACACACAGTCAATCGTGAACATCCTAAATGAGTGAACATAGAAACTGACAATAAAAAGTAAAACAAGCATGTTTTCAAGACCTCTATTTTCATCATGAATGATGGCTATTAGGAGAACTCCTCAAGTACGTTTCAAGACAGCACTACGCTTCACCAGTTTGTCCGCAGTCAGCGATCGCACAAAGTAAAACCTGGCATCCCTGACATTGCAAGCCCTGATGGGCTGCTGGTGTCCGACAGCTTCCAAAAAGCAACCATCCTCAACAAGCAGTTTACCTCTGTCGCGGTGCCTGATGACCCACGTTTAGTAATACCCCCTCTCCAATATGACACTCAACTTACTCGCCAATTCACCCGCGTTCATATCACTACAGCAGATGTTCGTAAAGCCATCTCAAACCTGAAATCTGGGAAAGCGCCAGGGCTAGACGGTATCACGAACAATATGATAAAGAAGCTAGCTCCTGCGATTTCTTTTCCACTTAGCCGCCTATTTAACCTCTCCTTTACCACAGGCAAGTTCCCTTCTGACTGGAAACTGGCTAAAATTGTGCCTATTTACAAGTGCAAAGGCAGCAAATCTCAAGCTAGTAACTATCGCCCAATTTCCCTCCTGTCCTGTATTTCCAAACTTTGCGAACGGCTCTTCTTCAATCAATTGTATAATCATATTTCTCCTGCTCTGGATCCCGCGCAATCTGGGTTTCGTTGTGGTGACTCGACCGCTCTACAGCTCACCAAGCTGATCCAAAACATTGCCGACCATCGTCATATGGGGCGGAAAGTTGCCATGTGCTTTTTCGACCTCGAGAAAGCTTTCGACACCGTGTGGCACCGTGCATTACTTGCTAAACTTTCCAAAGTTTTCGGTGTGTGTGACTCAGCGCTGGAGTGGATTACAGACTACCTATCCGACAGAACGCAAGTTGTCTTTGTAGGTGGAACTCTCTCAGATGCTTCACCTGTTCTGTCCGGAGTGCCCCAGGGATCCATCCTAGGGCCCCTCCTTTTCCTAGTGTATATAAATGATCTTCCCAGTCATGTTGAAGGTGTGTCCTTATTTGCTGACGATACTGCACTGCTCCGGTTCAATGAGTGTCTAGACAGGCTGCGAGACAGTCTCCAGCGCGGTATCAACGAAGTCCATCAGTGGATGACTACCTGGAGACTAAGACCTAATATCGCCAAGACTGAGATATTATTCCTGCCGAACTCAGAGCCAACCTATGCATTCACTCTTCCCGGATCCCTCACAGACCTCAAAGTGGTAAAACAACACAAACATCTTGGTTTGGTCATTGACTCAGACTTATCGTTTAGTAGACATGTCGACTATATCTGTAGCAAAGTCAGTAAAGCTGTTGGCTACCTCGTGTCTCACTGCTCCCACCTACCGCTTGAATGCATTCGCCTTTTTTATCATTGCTATCTCCCCATTTTTCTCTATTGCTCAACCGCCTGGTCATCCCTACTTAGTAAATCGTTAATGAGTACCCTGGACGTCCACAATAAGAGGATACTCAAAGTCCTTTTCCGCAAACCATCATACTTTCCTTCTGCCGAGCTGTATGATATGTTTAACACCTTCCCTATCTCTAGTCAAGCGGATCGAAAACTGTGTATTGTTGTTCATTCTATTCGTCTTGACAAAGCCCCGCCACACTTGCGTAAATATAACTGGTTTCTTCCCACTCGTCCTACGCGCAATCCCTGCACTTTACCTAAAGCCCGAACCTCAGCTTATACCAGATCTCCGTTTTTTGCTGCCTATTCTCTCTGGCTGGCCCTGCCTCTATCAGTAAAATCGTCTTGTACGCTAAAGGATTTCAAGGCCAACATGAAGCTCGTGTTCTAATAACTGCTAGTTCTTCATCCACATTTGTTTCTCTTTGCCTCCAGTAATGTGTAATATTTATTTATTTTTGCTTTGTTTTTGTTTACTGCCATGGCTGGCTACCGCCCCCCTCCCTCCATATTGGCCTATATTCTCTGGCCACGGGAAGGTGAAATAAATAAATAAATAAATAAAGTAAGACACAATGCAGAGTACTACCAAGTATGTATGAAAACAGCCGTTGAAAGAGTTCAGAGTGCATACCATCGAGGCACTGTTTGAACGAGGGAGCCCATATGCCCTATCCGAGATCCACTCGGCTCAACTCTGGCGCACTCACCTCGAGTTGAAGATCGGCCAGTGTGCGGCAACAGGACTCCTCTGCCTTGTCATGGCGCGTGCACCAGAGCTTGCTGGTAATGAAGAAGTCCTCACGCTTGTAGCCCTTTTCCCAGAGCTGCTGGAATGCTTTTCCAATCGCCCTCTGCATATCCAAATGCACAAGTTACATATCAAATATTGACCTCGTACCCAGGTCAATATTAATAGGAAAAAAAACCCTCGTAAAAGATCTCGTGTTCACCTCCGTCTTTTACCCGGATCCTACAACAAACAAGCTTGTAACTTTCACTGCTGTTGTTCTTGGTGTTATTTCTCTAACTTAGATTTTCTATAATAGCTCAACTTTGTTTCAGTGTCCTTTAGTACAACGACGATTCCTGATGAGTGTTGTACGAAAACTTGTTTGAATCCTTATTTTTTCTCTACACTAATGAATAAAGTATACACAAACGTCGATTCAGCTTGTCTTATTGATTGCGGTTATCAAATTATTGTCTCCTCGCCGTTTGTTTAAGCATGTGTTCATTTCCTAAAAAGGAGTCAAATATAAGCAGTCAATAACCTTAAGGAGCAATAGAGAATGACACTAGAATCACCAAAGAATTTGATCCTCACCTGGTTTTGGTAGCGCTCCGCACAGTCGAAATGCCTGTATCCAACTTCTGCGGCCTCCAACAGCTGCAAACCACCAGTTTCAAAGTATGCACACAAATTTGGTAAGTACTAAAAGCAGATATCATCATGGAGGTGACTAAAATCAAGGTTAGCCTTAGCACTGACCACTTGTATTGTACACATGCTTGCACGCATACACACATACTCAGGCACACACACATGCGCACGCGCACACATACACACACACACACACACACAAGCACACAAGCACACACAGTCACATACACACGCACACACACACACACACACACACACACACACCACGTACTACACCTACATACACACATGTTAAAGGGAAACTGAACGCCAAAAATAAGTATGGCTTATCCGAAGGAGAATTGGGCACTGATTCCGATGAGCTATGTCTCGAGCCGATCAGAGAAGAGGAACCGTGTCAAATTTCATAAATAACACCTTCCATATTTGGAAAATGGGCTTGATGACGTGCGTACTGCTTAGCTGTCACCATGCTGTGCATGCTCAGCAGTGTAATTGAATGGAAGAAAACAATTACTTTGGTGTTTTGCAGCTCTATTTCGTTCCCTGACGGTACCCAAATCTAGATGTAGGAATCTGTTGAGCAGGAGAGTGACACATGTCTTCCCGAAGGCTGTCCAGCCTGCAGTGGTGATGAAGAAGACACGAATATCACCCCAAGATCGATTGTAGCGAATTGGAAAACTCATGGTGAATTTGCTTCCACTCCAAGGCAATGTCGAGGTATGAAGGGTGCTTGTACTGCCTTCCAAAGTGCAGCGGAGATGAACATGGCTTTGCATAGCTGTTGCTCTACGCCAACTTACCTACTCTTGCTGGTTCCGTAGTGGCATATTGCAAATTTCGTGGACGAACAATTCGAGTCACTAGTGGCTAGTGAGCACCACTAACAGGTGAGATTTTTCAATTTGACAAAAATTGTTTTTGTTTGAGAACTGACGGTACGCGGTGGCAGTCATTTGACTCAGTAGGTGTCTCTGCTGCTTCTTTCCCTTCATTGGTAGGGTGGTGCTTGATACTGATAGTACAAGTGCTTGAAGTAAAAATTAATAAAATAAATAGAACATGTGGAACATAAATCTAATCAAGCATCAGTACATGTATTGCGAATTTCAACTTCAAAGCACATGAAATCACAATGATCACAAAGTTTATGGAATCAGGAGGACTCCCTGTGTTCAACGAACACAATACACACATTCTATATTGCGCGCACACATGTACACATGTGCGTGCACCCCCACCCCATCCCATAGACACACGCATGCAACGCACACATCCATACACATGTGTGTGAACCCCCCCCCCCCCCCCACACACACACACACTCCTACCCATACACATATGCGTCTACCCCCACCCCCCACACACACGTGTGCACAGACGGATACACAAACACACACAAGATACTTGTAAGTGTACATGGTCTTCCTGGTGCAGATGCTGGGCCAGCACAATGGAAAATACCTCCATCAAGATGCTTGATCTAGTGTTGTGATAATGGCACTGTTTGTTTGTTTTTACAAAGATGTGTGGGAAGGATTACAATGCGTTATAATTCATAATATTATTGTTCTTTGCCTTGTACTGTGCAGACCAGAATGCTTCGCCATCAACTCCTGGCTTTCCATCGGCATGGTGTTCAGCTGCAGCGGCATCTGGTCCGGGGAGTACGTTGCTGGATGGCTGCACTGACACAGGATGGGTTTGCGTTGGCAATGCAATACGGCAGTCATCCCACATTATGAGCTACAAGTTTATGTAATTTATATTGTCGCTCGTCCAGCAACGTCAAGGCTCTGCATGTAAACACAGGAGAACACCATAATAATTATACTACTTAGGGGATAATAATTATAATTTTGGATTATCAATTTCTTGACATTTATGAGTTCCTGTCTAAACCATGTCGTGATATTGATTGCTATCTGCTCACAAAGTACCTCGTGTTGTAACAATACTCTGCTTAATCACTACCCTCTGCCAATTATTAGATTCGCACAATATTCACAACATATGCAACACAATGCTGTCTATTGACACTACTTCGAACTGAAACGCTCATTACTCGTCTCCCGTTTTCAACTCCCTCTACCTTACGAATACTCTACTTTACTGGTTTCGTTTCTTCCCTTTCCATTGCTGCCAGCTCCCAGTCTTTTTCAGTGCACAGCACCATATTGAAATTTTTGTGATTTGATGTACACATACTTTGAAATTGAAATTCGAATTACATGATCAGATTTTTGTTCCACGTGTTCTATTTATTTCGACTTCAAGCACAACCCTATCGATGAAGGGAAAGAAGCCGCAGAGAGACACCTACTGAGTCTAATGACTGCCACCGTCTGTTCTCAAACAAGAACAATTTTTGTCAAATTGAAAAATCTCACCTGTTAGTGTTGCTCACTAGCCACTAGTGACTCGAATTGTTCGTCCACGAAATTTGCAATATACCACTACGGTACCAGCAAGAGTAGGTAAGTTGGCGTAGAGCAACAGCTATGCAAAGCCATGTTCATCTCCGCTTCACTTTGGAAGGCAGTACAAGCACCCTTCATACCTCGACATTGCCTTGGAGTGGAAGCAAATTCACCATGAGTTTTCCAATTCGCTACAATCGATCTTGGGGTGATATTCGTGTCTTCTTCATCACCACTGCAGGCTGGACAGCCTTCGGGAAGACATGTGTCACTCTCCTGCTCAACAGATTCCTACATCTAGATTTGGGTACCGTCAGGGAACGAAATAGAGCTGCAAAACACCAAAGTAATTGTTTTCTTCCATTCAATTACACTGCTGAGCATGCACAGCATGGTGACAGCTAAGCAGTACGCACGTCATCAAGCCCATTTTCCAAATATGGAAGGTGTTATTTATGAAATTTGACACGGTTCCTCTTCTCTGATCGGCTCGAGACATAGCTCATCGGAATCAGTGCCCAATTCTCCTTCGGATAAGCCATACTTATTTTTGGCGTTCAGTTTCCCTTTAATGGTCTTACCGCTTTGCCTACAACATCAGCGTCCACCAGCCATGTGCCAAATCCCAGTGCAGGAACTTTGTGGCTATTTGCCAGTGTCAGAGTGGTTCCAACTGCTCCAGCGGCCATTTCTCACAACTAAAGAGCACAGCATTCGAAAGTAAAACACACTTCGACAAAGATATAATACGTACTCTGCGGCAGCGAAAATAATTGCGGACACCCAGTACGTGTACCTGCAAGGAATGAATGATAATTATTATTATCATTCATATTCATGATGAAATCAACTGGTACTCGACTCACCGTTAGGAAACGATATTCCTTTTTCTACAGGCAAACGTGCAACGGAGAGCGGCAACAAAACACTTCTACTCCGTCAGTGCGTCAGTTGTTGATATCGCACCAATACAAGGCCAGTTCGCTGACACCTCGGATTTAGTCTCCACGACTCCTGCTGCTCTGCTGTCCTGATGCGGAGATACCGGTATGTAGTACCTTATGCTCGCACGTGCCACTCTTATAAATCTCGGCATCAAAAATAGCGACGTAAACATTTTTCAGTTTGTAGCTATGCTAGCATGCTCGTTGTGTATCAAAGACTTAGTACATAATCATTGTACTAGAACTAAGACTCGTTAGCAGATCGAAATAATTTTTATGCAATGGTTATGTGGTCGAGGAGGAGTGGTCATTGTGATCATGGTAATGTCCGGACCATGGTGGATTTCTAATAAGTATTCGTGTGTGGTAGTGAACTCTGATACTAGGCCTGTGGGGATTGCCCTATTCAAAATTTAAATTTATACAAAAGAGAAAGGACCAAGGAACTCCAAGTTACGCTATACTGTCCACTAACACGGTAACACCACCAGCTCACCTTCCCCTCCTTATGTTATCATGGTTATTTCTAGAACTTAGATTACAACCTTCCAAGTTGGAAGGCTGTTGGAGTGCGCATCCAAGATACCGGTATGCTAGAGCTGTTACTTTGTGTTAGCCAGTTAGTTGTAGAACGTCAGTACCGTCGGTCAGTCTCCTGCAATTATGTTATCGCATGAGCTGATTGTTTAGTTACCGGTGGTGTTAGTGGACAGTATAGCGTAACTTGTAGTTCCTTGGTCCTTTCTCTTTTGTATAAATTAAACCTTGGCTCAGCCTCTCCATTCGAGTCCAAAACGAGAGAGCTTGGAAGCTCAGGGCCCTACGCTATGCTTTGTTACTTAGCTCATCGTGCATGTTGTGGGAACTGATGGAAATGTTTCCTGGGACGGCGCTGACTCTGCCGAGCACGTGCGTTCTGGAGTCGACGGGATCTCTCTGCCGACGTTTCCTGTGACCGGCGCTGACTCGCCCGTTCACGCCTATTTTGGAGACGACGGGATCTCTCTTCCAAAGTATGTTTTTGCTGACGCATCCTATCACCTATTCGGAAACTAACACCCATTCTAATTTCATATCCTCCTCGTCTCCCTATTTCTTTAAAGAAAGTCTCTCTATACATCAGGGAGTCGTACTGTATTGGCAGCTACCCTAACGGGTCACGTCGCCCACCACCCAAGCATGGGTATGATGAGGAACAGTGGCAACAGAAACAAAAAACAGCAAGCAGGGAGAGAAAGCAAGAGAAAGATGGCGATAGTAGTACATCTGGTGTGCGACGTATAGAAAAGAGAGATGACAAGAGATGCGCACAAAATAGGAAACAATAATTATTTTTGCAGTTCCGAAACAATCAACCAGGTGATGGAGTGTGGGCACCCGAAGTTCCACCTGGACTCCACTGGAAGAACATCCCACGCAGGGATATCAGCGATAGGCCAAGCGTTGAAAAACAGCCATGAGGACACATCGTCTAGAAGTCCACCGCGCTCGAACTGAAATTGCAGGTTCAAACAATTTCCCACGCGGCGTCAGGCAGCGTAACTCTTCTCCCTGCATCACCATCCATATCCAGCAACCGTCTCCACTCACAGCTCATGCCTCTGCCACCACTGTACTCCTCCGAGCTTCGCAGTTTGAAACCATTCGGGGGTCAGCTACACCACCGCGAATGGAGAGACGAGGACGACAACGGTCGTGACTGAAAAGACACTGCCTTGGCGACCGCGTCGCGGAAACCTCGCCCCAGCAAATTCAGAAATACGCCAGGGGCAACTCTGGTGGAACCAGAGCCACCCCCTTGGCAAGACTAGTAAGAGGAACGACTGAAAACTCAGATAAAACGGAGCTACAAAAAGTGCAACGGTCCCCTTCAAGCACAGTTGCAACACACAGGGAGTCGTATACATGTACATAATATTGTGGCCAGCTGTTTGTAGCCAGCTGTGTTTGATGGTACGGTACGGTACGGGACAGATACGGAAGCCAGCAAATGGCCAGCTGTGCGATACGGTACGGGACAGATACGGGATAGCGCCAGGCGTCACACAAACAAACAAACAAACAAACAAACAAACATACAAACAAACACCGAATTAAAGCTGTGTGGACCCTGGCTAGCGCCAGACGTTACTGAAGTACCAGCCAGACGTTACTGAAGTAACGTCTTCTGCATAGCTACGGGAAGGAGAGAGCTTGGAAGCTCAGGGCCATACGCTATGCTTTTATGCTTTTTTGCCTAGCTCATCGTACATGTTATAAGAACTGATGGAAATGTCTTTTTCCGTTGATTGGCCACATCACTGTATTGCAAAAACGCTTCAATCAATTTGAATATTATGAGTTAGGCAAAAGTATTGCAGAATTTATTGCGGATTGTTATTTCTCTAATAATCATCTACTTTTGGTTTGCTCCTTCTTTTCCTTTTTCTCCTTATACTGTAAATCAACAAATTTTGGCCGGTGAGAAATAGAAACCTCTCTAAAGATGCACGTTATTTCCGTCGTGACGCGCAATTTCACGTCAAATTTGAAATCGATCGGTATTTTTGCTCTCACATGCATCCATTGCTCGATCATGCATCATTTGCTTCTATGACAAACTTTGGCCTGCGATTTACTTTGGCCGGTTGGTACCAAGCGGCGAAATCAGCGAAATTAAATCGCCAGCGAAAATTAGTTGATTTTAACACAGTAATCCGATTTTATAATAGCAATAAAAAGAACAAATTCTGCAGTCATCGCCACACTACAACGAAGTCATGTAAGTTTACCAGAATTAATTTTCTTGTCACATTCATCAGTGGAAAGTCGTGACTGAAGAGTAACCATGCTGAACAATGATTAAATATACATTCAATGATGTGTTACGAGAACAAAATACAGTGCCAAAATAGAAAGAGGGAAGGTGAGACAATAGCAGTGAAGTGAGAGCTAAGTGCAACGGTGGGTGAAAAACTAATAATTATAACGCTAAAACTGTGTAGTGAGACAAACAATCATGCTGTGCACCTACGAAAACAATTTTAACGCAACTACATGTTTCTTCTGCTTACAAAGATCAGGCTTATGCAAACGAATACAAACAGCCTCAAGTACTTTCAACTGACTAGCATACCGTGCACGACAAAGAACAGAAAAACTAAAATCATCATACACCTGCAGACACTTAGGGTGAGACAACAAGTGAAGAAAAACGGCAGACTTCTTACGATCACAATCACCATCTGATTCCTCGTCTCCAACAACCGCAATCTCGTCCTCCGTTTCATCTCCCAACTCGTCCTCAGTGTCGTCCTCCGTGTCATTCTCCTCATCAACACTGATCGGTCCCAGGCTCGTTTGACGTTGTTTAACCTCTGTTCGTTGACTCCTCCTTTGATCTTGATGGCAACTTGTTACCATTGTTGTTGTTGTTGTTGTTATTGTTGTTAAATCTTGTGTTCCCAGTGTCCTCGCCGGTGCTTGATCTCCAGTACTGTAATAATTCATTGAATAATTAGCCGTTGATCGTCTAGGTCTTTGAATGTTGATTGTGTTACTTTCTTTGTTGAATTCCGTTCCCTTCAGCCTTCTTTCTCGTTGTTCACAATCAGTGCTTGCCTCATCCATATATGCACGTGCCACCGACACCACAGACTCAGCCCCAGCACCGCCGATGATAGATGTAGGTGGCGGTTCTGGGGGAGGCAACGGCAAAGACGGCGATGAGGGCATTACCTCATCACAGCGTCCACTTTGGTCTTGAGCTGAATGTTGTTGTGGTGTGTTATCTTGTGTTGTTATGGTGCATTGTGTTGTGGTGACAATATGCCCATTACCCGACTCCAAGGCTCTCGATACGGGTAATGGAGGCACTATTGCCGATGACGGAAATTGTGCTAACGATGGCTGTGGCCGAGGGTTCTTCAGTGGCCTGCCGCGTTTTGGTCGCAGTGCCCGTGCCGAGCCAGTCAGCATATGCAGTGGGACGTGCTGCTGAGATTTAACAACAATAACAACAACAACAACAACAATGGTAACAAGTTGCCATCAAGATCAAAGGAGGAGTCAACGAACAGAGGTTAAACAACGTCAAACGAGCCTGGGACCGATCAGTGTTGATGAGGAGAATGACACGGAGGACGACACTGAGGACGAGTTGGGAGATGAAACGGAGGACGAGATTGCGGTTGTTGGAGACGAGGAATCAGATGGTGATTGTGATCGTAAGAAGTCTGCCGTTTTTCTTCACTTGTTGTCTCACCCTAAGTGTCTGCAGGTGTATGATGATTTTAGTTTTTCTGTTCTTTGTCGTGCACGGTATGCTAGTCAGTTGAAAGTACTTGAGGCTGTTTGTATTCGTTTGCATAAGCCTGATCTTTGTAAGCAGAAGAAACATGTAGTTGCGTTAAAATTGTTTTCGTAGGTGCACAGCATGATTGTTTGTCTCACTACACAGTTTTAGCGTTATAATTATTAGTTTTTCACCCACCGTTGCACTTAGCTCTCACTTCACTGCTATTGTCTCACCTTCCCTCTTTCTATTTTGGCACTGTATTTTGTTCTCGTAACACATCATTGAATGTATATTTAATCATTGTTCAGCATGGTTACTCTTCAGTCACGACTTTCCACTGATGAATGTGACAAGAAAATTAATTCTGGTAAACTTACATGACTTCGTTGTAGTGTGGCGATGACTGCAGAATTTGTTCTTTTTATTGCTATTATAAAATTGTTGTCTCCACGTCGATTATTTGCATAATCCGATTTTCTGGCCTTTTTGTAGTAATACATGTACATTGACCTGTTGAGCCAATCACGCCGCCGAATGCATGGTTGCCTGTGGAGCACATTACATAACTTTACAGTCTCCTAAAATACGTATCCTGTCCGACGGCAAAAGAGGCTGCAGATTTAGTTTTTCTGCGCATCGACGGGATGTCTGCGACGCGAAAGTTCAGCTCGCGTAATTTGGCTCGCACGTCGAAAAATCAACGCGAGTGACCTGCTGCTCACGTCGAAATTTGGACATTACATAACTTTACAGTCTCCTAAAATACGTATCCTGTCCGACGGCAAAAGAGGCTGCAGATTTAGTTTTTCTGCGCGTCGACGGGATGTCTCTCCTGACGTTTACTGGGACCGGCGATGACTCTGCCGATCACGGGCGTTCTGGACTCGACGGGATGTCTGTCCTGACGTTTCCTGGGACCGGCTTAGACTCTGCCGATCACGGGCGTTCTGGACTCAACGGGATGTCTGTCCTGACGTTGCCTGGGACCGGCGGACTCTGCCGATCACGGGCGTTCTGGAGTCGACGGGATCTCTCTTCCGACGTTTCCTGTGACCGGCACTGAATCGCTCGTTCACGCTTATTTTGGAGACGACGGGATCTCTCTTCCAAAGTATGTTTATGCTGACGCATCCTATCACCTTATCGGCGTCTATTCTAATTTAATTTCCTCCTCGTCTCCCTATTTCTTTCCAAATCCCACTCTACATCAGGGAGTCGTATGCATAATACGACGAATATTGGTACGGTACGGGACAGATACAGGAGCCCGCAAATATTGTGGACAGCTGTTATGTACAATCCTGTAGAGCCTTTGTAGTCACAGATACGGGACAGATACGGGACAGATACGGGATAGCGCCAGGCGTGACACAAACAAACAAACACACAAACAAACAAATACCAAATTAAAGCTGTGTGGACCCTGGCTAGCGCCAGACGTTACTGAAGTAACGTCTTCTGCATAGCTACGGGAATAATAATAATTCTGTGGGAGTGTCATGCTGCTCATGCACACATGTGTTAGAGAATAATGGTGTACTAGCTGTGCTAGTACTTGTTAGCAACAATCCGAACTAGCGCACACACTGCACTGCATTGCTTTGTACTGCATTCAAGACTGACGTCATGCGCTTTGTTTTGCTGCGTAATCACAAATGGCACCAGCCCATTTTTGCGGAAAAGAAAAAACAAATCTTGCTTGCCCTGTTGTGCTCTTCCACCATACAACGGATCGTGCTTCAGCAGTGTTTCTTTTAAGATGCCTCTTTGTTGACTTGTTTGTGTGAGGGATGGGGCTAACTGGTATCAGTGATATTATTACTACATGTACTATGCACATGATTAATGTGTGACCTTGGGATCTAAACTGGCGCATGCACGAGTGCCGAACCGCAAGTCAAGGTGAAATCTTGGCTTGTTGAGAGGCAATTTCAGAGCCTTGCAATTGTCACTGGGCACTGGCAGTATTACCTGATGAAGGCTGATTCACTCGCATCTTCTGCTACATGTACTGTGTCAGTGTGCGAAAGAACTTTGAAGAAGACGAGTTTGAGCATACAATACTGTATTGCCATGATTTCTACCCTGCTTTTCATTGAAAACACTGTCTGCATGACCTCCGAACCCTTTACCATGCAGACCACCAGCACTGATCAGATGCATTGTACACAGTTGTCGTGATATCGATAGCCTACATACAGGTACTACTGTAGAACTGTGGTATAATCGTGTACACTGGTAGTAATGCTCCTACCTCCGAGAGGATGCCAAATTATGCTCCAAATTTTCAACCACCAAATTATGCCAATAATTATGCCGGCATAATCCGCCGGTGCCTAACTGGCACTCGGGGACCGTCAGGATGATACTAAACTGCTTCACAAAATACCCGCTTTCAATTTAGAATAGCGCCTTCGACTGATACAACTACCATTGTCAACATGACTTATCACCGTTGGATCTTCATAAGATCGTGATGCAGGACAATAGAAGTATAGTCCCCCCCCCCCCCCCGAATACAGCATTGTTCACAATCTGTTCCTTGGCCTGGGAGTGAGGTCTTGCTGCATACAGTTTAGTATGTTAGTACTGGTTGTTACACGTATGCCTAGTCGTAGTAGTGCTCTCCACAGTCCTCTACGGGAGAGGAACACGATGAAGATTATAATTAGGGTGGTCTATAACTCCTTGATTCGAAAAAGCAAGTGTTTTATTGAAACAGCTGTTTGCAGGATTGCTCCATTACATACTCGTACTCGCACAGTTGAGGTCCAGGCACACATTACTTGCGTAAGTATAGTAGAGCACCGGCTGATGGTTGTTTGATGTTTCCATTTTCGTGCCGCATTTGTATTGAGTCTAGGTGCGACGCCGTTAGCCTAATACGACCATCCCCGCTTCCACAGACTCAGGTCAAGAGCAGGGAGGTTTATACGGCTCTCTGGTCCAAATCTAGAGAAGAGGTATGACTGCAAAGGCGACCGCACACAGCAAGTAGGGTGCGCTCGTAAGTAGTTAGTTGTAGGGTGAAAACCAGGGAGTCGAAGTAAAAGCTTTTATAACTCCCTGGTAGATCTACATGGTGCAAACGATGTTATCGGATCATCGATCATCAAGCATCTCAGAAACTCGGTAGATCTACAGTAGTACAGACTACATGCACCACACTATGTGGTATACCGTAGCCATGCCGATACCAGCTTTGACGTCCCGCCTGAACTAGACTGGAGTGACTACATTCCGTCATAATATCAGGGAGTCGTATAGTCTATACGACTCCCTGATAATACTGTAGTCTAGACCGTGTAGTGCGTGATCTGACCTAAATTTTGTGCGCTGTGAACTTTGAACTCCTCACATGTTCGGGTCGGCAGCTCATGCCATGGCTCTCTCTGGTCCTGCGTTTTATCGCCAATATATCGGCATCCTGTCAGCTTCGTTGAGTCGTGCTTGTCAAACAGACCTACACTATACTATAGTATAGTATAGCCCGGGTATAGTATAGCCCGGGTATAGTATGCTACGGCATGGGTGAGGCTACGCCACCTGCATACGTCAGTGCGTCTGATGTTTGCTTCTGAACACGAAACTCACTATGAGAGCCGCGATGTCAATTGTGACGCCAAACAAGGGGATTTTCACAGCTCATCAAATCAAACATGGGAAAGCTAACCAATGACTTGTGTGGCGGGCATTCATCGGGCAATTGTTTCCCGTCGGAGATGGAATCAACCGGAAGTCGAACTGTTGAATTGCATGAAGCGCTCTTTTTTTTGTAAGTATACTGTACGTGAGATTCCTAAGCCGAGCCTTTACCCGTAGATCTACTGAGAACGTCTTGTACTAGTAGTACAGTATGCATGGTATGGGGGAGCTAGGCGAATTGTGTGTAAATACGCTTGTAGTTGTATATACATGATGTCATGTACGTGTAACATAATGCCGCATAGTTATAGGAGTCATTCTCTCTACTTTTCCGCTTTCGGTTTCACACACTCAGTCCAGTCAGTGCACTGAAGACCTGGAAGTGTTGAAAGAAAGAACTAACGACTGCTTGATTGATATCTTCCGTTTGCCAGTGCACAGACTCACTCAGTGGCTGGGCCAGAATATAACAAGTAGAGTAACCGAAGACGTAAGAGTTGACCAGTCTTCGTGAAAGGCACCGAAATTCCAACGCCTGGATCATGAGCTTGAACTGAGCGCGAGACTGTCGTGAACTGCGTTTTTCAGGGTCCAACGAACTACATACAATGTCATGTAGCTCCCTGCGCGAGTATTCAGCGGGCTTGCAGTGACTTGCAGCAGTCTTTGTGCATTCACACTGAGTCTGTGCAACTGTCATACCTTCAGCATAGTGCCGACACGCTGACTCGAACATCTCGACACGCCATTACGTACAACGTCTGCAATGGCGGTCTTCCCATCACGAGCACTTCACTGTTTACACATGCTTTATGACACGAGCGTATTGGTCAGCAAGAACGATGCCCTTCAAAGGCATTGGCGTGCCTGCATCGCAGCAAAAGGTTTTGTCTTACAGCACTTGCCCGGCCCACCAAGCCACGGCACTGAGTTCAAGGACCTAGGCAGCCAGTTGGACGACGTTGGCTACACCAGAACAACGCATGTTTCCCTGACCAGACAGTCAGACCTACACGTGGGTCCACATCGAAGAAACAGGCTAGCATTAGTACTATAGTAGCAATGGAACTATTAGTATTACTTGAAAGTTCATTAGGTGAAGCTCGCCGTAGCGTGTAGATCGACGCACGCACCTTATGTGCATGGTTGGTTTTATCAACTGGAATGTGTGCACTGCACATGGCTTTGAAGCCCCTCAATGCCTCTTTTCATACTTGACAGGCAGTCCTCCCCTCGTCGTTCCTCCCCACGTTGAAACGACTTCGAACTTTATGTTCGGCTCAAACGGTTCTCTAGCTAACTGCATTGTGAAATCGCGCCTCTGGCGGCGTTGATAAACTGCATTATGCTGCGGGAAACAAAACAACTCAGGGCCGCGTGGACGTTCTTCTTGAGTTGACAATAGGCTGTCATCGCGGTAAGACCTGGTATTCCAATATGCCGCCGCTATGTAGGTGGGAGTGTGATGAGAAGAATGATGCACCTCTGCACTGACACAATCCATTGGATAACATTATTTCTTTCGTTAGTTTCGATTGCATTGGAGCTGTCCCGTGTCCGCGACCTCTGAATGTCATGCACGATGATAACGCGGTCCACTGTGAGTAGATCCTACAGCGTCGACGCCTGTGCCTGACTTGCTGGACTGTCCGTACTGTCACAGTGTCAGTTGGCTTCGTGGTAGACGCCAAGCTTGCAAGGTGCAAACTGCACTGCATTAGCACTGCGCACCCGCGCACGAATGTCCAGTCAGTTCAAATCACAATCAAAGAATGGAACAATCTCCTTTCAACGCCGGTTCGCATCTTTAGCAAGCTGAGTTTGTTCGCAGAGAGGACAGTCTCTTTCCTCCAGGCAATATGGCCAGTGTTGTCGAGGGTCTGCGTTCCGTGGGAAGGCATTTGCCAGGTCGTGCCTCTAAGCATGGAAGAAAAGAGAGGGGGACGGCTCCGGAGCGTGACGGACAGAGCCTATCTACGTCCTCTTCCAGCCCGCTTGCGTCGCCTCGTATCTTGTCAGGACAGTCCTCATCCACAGGTTCTGTGCGTTCACCTAGCGGCTCGGTGCGAAAGTCTCAGGCGCGCAGTCCTGTATCGACTTCAGGACCGGCTGCTTGGTCCACATCTTCCGTTCCAGAGGCAGTGTCGTCCGGTAGCAACTCCAGTAGTGCGGACTGCTTGCTACTGAATGGATCCAGACAATCTTTGGACAGAAACACTGGTGTACCTGCTTCTGCAGCTCCAACTGAATTGGGAGCTGCTGCCATGGATCTGAACAAACTCCTTGCTGGTGTGGAGCGATTCCAAGCAGCCATCATTGCACTGAAGAAGCAATTCATTCCGACACAACCTCCTCAACCAGTCACAACAGTGGACCAATCACCGGCGTTGCCAGAGGTATTCGGTAAGGAAGGAAATACCCCCGCGCCGCAGGGATGCGGTGGAGCTAGGAGAGTGGTTTTGTGCTCCGTGCTTGTCTCGGATTGTCAGCTTGATTGATTGTGTGGACGCTTGTCTGGGTTGCTTGGTGTAGTGGTGCACCCCCATGGGGTAACCTGAAGTTGTAGGAACTAATTACTTGGTGGAAGTAATGCGTACTGGGAGTGTTTGAATGGGTTGAGAAACTGCAGCAATCCACCAATTATTCATTGTGTAATTGCCAACAAACATTGCAACATACCTTGCACATGACTGGCCTGGGCAGCATACACTGTGAATGCTGCAGACTTTGAAGTACATGGTATGCCAAGGCCCTGTCACCAGTGCAGTGTTATTAATCAGTGAAGTTCAATATTTCACTGCCAGCCCTTTGGAAAAGGGAGTCAGTCACGAAAGTGGCACTAACCCAGGACAATCCCATAATATTATCATTATCATAGTAATGGTGAGCAATTATGCAGGCACGGAATGGGTGGAACAGCTCTTGCGTGCATGCATGAACCTCATCACAATAAGAGTAGTGGCACCGTTTTTTCAAATTTTTCCGCAGTAACAACAAAGCAAAACGTGGAAAGGTATACATGTACTTCGAAGTACAGTACTGCTCACTGCAATCCAGTCGCGTCACTCAAAAGCGCGCCCGGCGTTGTGCAGCCCTAGACCTGCGAACACTGGGCTGCGAAATGGTGCAAGGCGCACACTTGAGTGGCGTGACTGGATTTCAGTGAGCAGTACTGTACATGTACATGACTGTACTGTATAATGCAGACGGGGCTGTTGCTGTTGCCGTTGGAGGTGATGCTACCCTTGAGCTCTGCTAAAACTAGTTGCTTTTCTCACAGCATTAGCCATTTTATAGAAATACAATGCAAGTTGATAGGCATAGATAGTGTTGCTGAATGCCTTATACAACTATCTCAGAGATCTGTGGAAAGTCCCCCCCCCTGATTTGAAAGCATACCATACAAATATTTCATGTAATAGGTTGTAAAAACAGTGTCTAATATTTAGAATCTCTGCTACCCCTCGAGGAGGAGCCAGGCTTGGGGTTAGAGTGCCAGCACAGATTGAACGATAGACTGCAAGGGTGTTTGTGGGCACGGGGTTGGATTTGAACATCTCCATAAATTATGCGGATCAAGATCAGATGGTGAGATGATGGGAATGAAGTATCTTTTATTGGAGAATACAGAGAACACACATGTATATCTTCATTTCTAGCCATATTCTAATTTTAGACACTGAACACCCAGGCCAGTAGGTAGGATTGGATCGAAGTGAATGCAGCGTGTTCATCTTCCATGTGTTGTAAAATGCAGAGGAGCGGAGCATTGATGATGCCATAGCAGCTGCCCGAACACCCAGGACCAGTACGGGGCAAGGACCTGACGTTTCTGCAGACACTATAGCAGGCACTCCACCGCTAACTCCACCGCCTATATATTCCGACTCCTCTGAATGGTCCAGTCCTCCGTCTTCAGGCGGAAATCGTCAGTCTCGCCTCCGGTCAGATGGTGCAGCATCAAACAGCAACCCGGACTGGTCAAGCGACGAGGAGAATGAGCGTGACGAGCAAGCTGTCAGCCAACGTCGGAGTCCTTCTCCCAACGACGGTGACCAACCGCTTCAGCCCAACAGTGCGCTCATGGAGGGTGTGAAGGCAGTGCTGTCAGCAGTTTCAGCTGTCTTGCGGGAGCACATTGCCATGAATGGCACGGACCTATTCAACTCGGCCAAGGCTCTGTACGAACTATGCATAGGTAAGCTTTGTGCAGGTTCTCAGCACTCTTGATCAGAGATCTAATAGTGATTATGGACATCACGCATGATGATAATAATAATTATTATTATTATCATCATTAATATCATCATGGATGATGTCCATTATCAATGATTATAACCGTGTGCGACAGTGTTATGGTGCCAGGTTTGGTAGATACTAGCATGATACTAGCATGCTATGGCTGTCGAATGTACCTGAAAGTGCCACCACCAGATAGAGCAGGTGTGACGCAAATGTCTCTATGCCATACCGGGCTGAAGGTGAAGTAGTTGACTAGATGTAAGTGAGGGTAACTGGGCTGTATAGCTACAGCTACTATTGTACACACATTAACACGCCACCTTAACCTATCTTCTTTGGACTTTCAACAGTGTCCTGTCATTGTAATATTTCAAATCAGACAGGACTTGGGATGGACAGTACTTCAAAACACAGTGATAAGATGGCTTCCCTGTCAAGATACTGGCAGAAATAGTCTCTGAGTTGGTGTTCATTTGGAAGTAAGTTAGCTCCTGTGGAGGGGAGTTTAGGAGTGTTGCTAACTTGGGCAGGCTGGCTGCTTCATCACAATCAAGAGTGGTCCTATGATCCAGTGCATTGTTTATGCAGTGTTGTTTGACATGGCATCATTCTAACTGCTTGCGAGATACAGTGGCCCACTGGGCATCATCTAAGGTTGACCACTGGGCTGGAAAATCGCCTATAACTCGCTCACTGTGAGAGTAGATTTGCTGAGAAGCTTACAAGAATGGCAAGTATTCATGAAATCCTAATACACAGGCATGCCACTGAAAAATCTGGGTAAGGACCGTGAATGACTTGGGTGGTCATGCACCATTGACCGGCCACTATGTGGCGGCATCCCAGCTACTTTTTGCTTGGTGTAACTTGTAACATTCTTATCATCTAGCTGCTTCACTGCCTGTATCAGCAGACTGAGATGGTGTGTACCTTAGCCTAAGGACGAGGGTGATAGTACTGATACAGGTAGCAGTGCTCAGGTAGTGATGGGAATGTAGTCAGTTCAGTTTCTACAGATTGGCCTAGTGACTAGTGTGCAGTGTTGTGTATTGTGTATACACTGAGGCTCACACTGGGATAGGGAGTACATGTACTAGTAATTAGTATTGTCCTCATTAACGCATGCTCCGTACGCGGAGGCATACACGACCCACACACAGACACAGCAGTAGTTGGTTGGCACCACAGGGTAACTGGGCGAAGGAGCTGGCAGTGTGTAACCATGGAGGCGGCCGACCCGACAGAGGCGGGGACCGAGAGTGAGACCGAAATGGCGGCTGACCTGCCAAGGGCAGTAACCGAATAGAGTGATTCGGGAGAGTAGAGAGAATGCTGCCAGCTACTGAGAGTTCAGTGCCCAATCCCTGCTTGTTTTTGTTTAGCAGAGTGAGTTTGGAAGACGAATGAGGTTAGTAGTATAAGCGGGGTGCTACAGAATGAGAATTGTAACACAATGAAGTCGGTGTGGGTGGGTGGGTGAAAACACGGAGCAAGAGTCATGCGAGCCAATGCAACTAACAAAGAGAGCCAGGCACGAAGGCTGCTGAAGGGTGTACGTATGCAAAGCGAGCTGCTGGGAGAGTTTGCGCATGCGCACAACGGCGCATCCGTAAGCTGGCGCGAACACGCGCGTGATAGACATCAGCATACAGTGAAAACATTACGTCACCGCGTTAACATACTATAGCCACGCAAAACTTGCATTAGATCACAGGCACCGCAAAGCAGATAGATAATTATCTATGTAAAACAGTGCAGACTTCTGAGTGATGATGACCACTGCTGCCTGGTGCTGGCATTAACCACAGAAGTCCTGCAGTACATGTACTAGTAGACAGCAACACTATCAGCTCAGGCTCAGAGTGGTGCATGGCAATTTCCAAAATCATTTCTTTGACTTTGGCACTTGCACTGTACTGTCTGTATAGCTAGCTGTGGTATCAGCAGCAGATGCATTGGATACACACTGGGATTAGACTTCAGAGCTGTGTGTGACCTGCATGTTTTGACAGCTACTTGGTCCTAAGTGCATGCTAAGTGCCTATCTTGACTGATGAGTGATCAGACTTGGCCAGGTATCACCCTGTCTAGCCTAAACTGGAGTGTCCATGCACCTACAGCTAGTAAAAGCCACTACAGGTTACACTAGCACTAGCAGTAGCTGATACTGTGATAGCTAGATCTCTACCAGCCTGGGGTCTGTGAATCCTGACCTCTTGAGGATCAAGTCTCACTTCCTAAAAGTTTCTTTTTGAGTTGTGTTGAGCCACTTCTCACAGCTAACAGTGGCCAGGTGCTGTTCAGTTCAAACAGTTTGGCCACTGCTGGCTCCCACTGTATTCAGCACCCAATCAGCCAACTGGAGGAGAGCCTGTGCAGTATGACATGAGAGGCTAGGCTGCTAACGGCATTATATAGGTGATCATTGATGATGAAGCAAAGCTAAACCTGCCCTGGTACATGTCCAGGAAAGTAGTGTGAAATGTTGCTTCACAGAAAAGGGGATAGCAGATCTCTGGTTTCCCTTGAACACGCCATTCCACACAGACACTGGCTAGATCACTTGTGCTGCATGTGACCTTGTGAGCAGCAAGATGAGTAGTCTGTGGGTACTGGCAACTAGGAACTGTGCTATCAGAAATGGCAGCAGCTTGTCTTCCCAGGATTCGTCTGACGTGGACATTGATGGCGCTGTTAGGTTGGCTCAACAAGGCCTTCCACGCTGCCATAGCTGGGCAGAGGGACTGGGGAGGCAGACTGGCCTTGCCTCAAGAGCAATGGGTAGGTAGATGGGATGTGGGCCCGTGTCGTGCAGGAGACAAGCCAGAGCTTGCCAGCAAAGAACTTGAAGGCAGAGCATGTCAACAAGATGTGGCAAAAAGAAAATTACACAGCCACACAAATAGTCACACTCAATATAATGCTGGGCCACATCATGTATCGTGTCCTCTGTCCAAGTAGCAGCAGGGTCAGGTCATTTGCTGTACCTACAAGTGATCAGAAAGGTTTGCAACAGGCGTGCTCAGCATGATTAAGCCCTCCCCGTGCTATTTGTTCATTGGTACATGTATTCACACACCTGTGACCCACCGAAATGTTTTTCTTCTCTGTAAAAGTCAGAACTATATTAAAATTTTGCAGTCGAGCTCCTCTAACCTCTTCCCACTGTAGCACACTTCGGGTGTGGACATTATAGCACCATTGACTCCGGGAATGGTAACGGAACAGGCCTTTGTTTCAATGCAGAAAAATTGGTCTTTTCTTTAGACCGCATGCATATTGGGTTATGGTTTGAGTAGGGTACATGACTCAGCAATCACAATGTCATCATGAACTCAAAGCACCCCCCCCCCCCCCCCTTACCAATTTGAATACCCCGCTATATTCATCTTGTACCAGAAGAAAACTCTCCAGTATTCCTACATTACACCTGGTCCCTTGTTGTGGCATTGTATACTTTCCACCATGCCAGAGAATATGGAGATGACATGTTTTGTCGGTACTTTCTCAGCAAATGTCATGACATGTGAGTGTGGTTTGTTCTGCTACCCCACAGAGCATGAGCGCCTGATGCCTGGTGAGCTACCTGACTTTCCGGATGCTGTGGAGTCCGTCTCTACTGCTTTCACTGCATGGTGAGATGAAGTATAAGTACTTGTACTCAGGTTCTGTCATGCTGGTCTTTCAGGATGTGAACCCACATTGTGGTTGAAGTGATTAAGACCATATCCAGAAAATCACTCCGACGGGAATGACAGTGGCTGATCCGATCGGGGCCTAGTTCTGTCAGCTGTAACATTATCAGAAAATCTAATCCTAATCCACGGGTATCTACACAGGGAGAATGTCAAACACACTGGGATTTCTGTGTCAATTGCAATGCATTTCACACCTTGTCACTTCTCTGACAAATTTATCCTGGCAAAAGCAGTGTAGATGATGTCAAGTGTGCATTCTCTCTCCTTCTGTGGCCAATGCAGTGTTGCTGACTATGCATTTGGTGACCGTGCCAGCCCGGATGAGGACCTGCACAACCTGCAAGAGGTTAGTCCATCTGAAACTTAGAGGGCTGATTGCTCAGTTACCGATGTACATGTATAAAGCTATGGGAGATTTCTTCCGCCTCATTGCTTCCTTTCCTAACGTTATTTGCAGCATTGGTAGCCACTTACAAATTATTATGCAGTAAAACATGTCAAGGGGGACCTTTTTGAAAGGCGGCCAACTACTTCAGAGAACCACAACTAGCACCAGGACCAGAATGGTGTCCTTTCCAGTCAACTGATCCGGGATAAAGGCATCATCTGTACTCAGTCGAGGACCACATTTTGAGATCCCCTTAGCGGTGGTCGGCTAAAAATGCCGGGAAGGGCTTCCTGCTCGGCGAATTTAAATTTTACAAAATTGGCTGAAGATCTGAAGATGCTTTATTTGAACCACCCGTCAACCAATGTGGAGCCATGATGTATCTGAATCGACCACTGCATGATGTGTCCTTGTAAGCTTCATTCTGGTCATGCTTACCAATTTTGATCCTTTCAGAATCTTATGGCTTTGTCACATACTGTGGAAACGCTGGAGAATGTGAACCGAATGGAGGAAGCGTCGGCATCTACTGCTGCTGGCTCACTTGCTCCAGGTCTGTTAACTACCTAGGATTTCTTGTAGTGGCCAAGCAATTGAATGCCAGGCATTTTCTTCTTAAAATCAGTAATTGCGTTCGACATTCTGTTGATTCTACTGATTTTGCATCATATGTATCTAGAACCCTTATAAAGTTGAGCATCTCTTATCTAGATGTCCCATACCTAGATGCTTTGCAAGCATGTAGCAACAGTCAAATCTTAAAGCTGTCCGGGAACTCTGGAGGCACGTGGTAGCGGTCACATCTTAAAGCTGTCTTTCCTTTTGTGGCTATCCGAGTTGAAGGACTTGACGTTATAAAGATCAAACTCTCGGTTTGTACAGCATATGCTTCTGATTATGGTATGGGTCAGCTCAACTGAAGAGAATGATGTGTTACATCCGCAATATGTGGAGTAGTTACCGACAATTTCGAACAAATGACGGGATACCCTTTAGTCCTGTGATGCCTGGACAAGAGAGGTTCAACTGTAACGCACCAAGTCCTCCATGACTGCCACGGTGTGTATGTGTGTGGATGTGTGGGTGGGCATGTGCACGCTTGTGTGTGTATGTATGTATGTATGTATGTGTGTGTGTTTCTTTGTCGGGGAGATGTCCGCACGTTCTGTTGGCAAAATCATGTTGTTTATCATAACATGCATTCTTGACCTCCTGTGCACACTTGCAGGGATTCCTCGGCACTTTCTCAGCGAAGAAGTCCCAAAGGTAATTCGCATTCTCCAAAAAAAAAAAAATGTCACGGTTCGCGTGAGACTCGGCTGGAAGCCGGGTTTTCCGCATCCGTAGGAATGCCACCACCCTTCAAGGATCAAGGCGCAGATGCAGCTCCTAAAGCTCCTAAAGTCTGAACCAATATTCCAAGAAGATTTGAGAGCCACATTGTTACGATCTCATACACCTGATCTTCAGGCTTTTGAATGCCAGTAGCCGTTATCAGTTTCGTGCAAAGTTATCACATGATCTCATTGTCAAGTATCTAGTTCTCTTAGGTGGACTGCAACGCACAACCTGTAACTATGTGTCCCTCCTCTTTTTTAAATCGTCATCTCCTCGAGTTTTCCGTGAGTGATGCTTGCAGTCGTCTGTGGGTATAGAGGATAGCAATGGTGGTTAAATGACTCCGTAAGTTGTGTCCGGCCGGATGCAGTTCAAGGATGCCCACTAAATTGATTTGCAAAGGATAACTGATGCATAGTGACACGAGCTGGCTGAGCTGTTGAGTCACAACCCGTACATTTTCTTTTACCTGCACTCACACGTCTGTTCACAGATGCTACGGAGGTGGAGTCGTTATACGAAAGAGCTGGCAACGTTTTACCAGAAGCGAGCACAGCTCGGTAAGCAAGCACAGGCTTAGCAGACAGGAAACCATTTGGTATGGCATGCATCATTATAATACACCAGACCTACCACCACAGGTCTTCTCATGGGATGATATTTATACAGAAGTGAGACGGCTGCCTTCAACAACACTGACATGAAAGTGGCTTCATGTTGACTCGAAGATATTGACTGGGATATCATGTTACATGCTGTAAATGGCAGAATTCCTTTGCAAGATGATTTTATCATCTCACACCATGTGCTATGCAGTCTTGCACCGATACATCAATAGAAGACTCTGTCGGAAGAAGTATACTGTGTGTTGCGTATATGCTATCTTGTGCAGAGGTTGAGTACAGTCAGAAACTGTTGAAGCTTGCAAGGTCGACTACTGATACTCTCAGCACACCCGTAAGTGCAGTTGTGTGTGTGTGTGTGTGTGTGTGTGTGCGCACGCACCTCAAGATGACTAGCATTACTGCTGTACCAGTCAGGCATCCTCCTGGTTTTCGGAAACACTGCTGGTTCATTCTAGTGACAACTTGTGACAAGTGTCAATTATGAAACAAAAGGTGCCGGGGGCACTTTAAAAAGGTGCCGGGGGCACTTTAACTTACCACAACCATTTGTTCTTGGCAGCTGACCACTGCATGAATATGGTAAACATCTACATCTACACTAATGCCTACAATGTATATTAATTTATTATTTGTGTTATTCTTCTTTTTCAATTGCACAGGATGCTTCCAATTTGCCAAGTTACAGCAATATCCAGACTTCCTTGGAAAGTGTAAGCAGTCTGCATGTGATAGCTACTCACATCTTGTCATGCCACATCATACTTACTGGTACCGAAGTACATGTACACTTGCTAGGTCTTCATCATCGTTCATCCACTTGCTGGTTTTAACTTGCTGTATAATACATTACCCACATGCATTTGAGTGGCAGAACCAATGGGGTTCCATATCTTCTCCACTGGTATGGTAAAGCCTTGATTTTAAGTCCCTGCCCTAGTTTACGTACACAATATCTGTAAATTTGTGTGTCATCTCTGACTGCACCTCTCTTTCAGGACATCCTGTATGGCCGTGAATGCATCGAGAACTACTCTCACGCGGTTTCAGAAAGTGTAGTGCAGGTAAGGAATGTCCAGTGGATGCAATATACAGTAGGTATCGGTTATAGCGTGGGTGTTTGAAAAACGACTTTCTATTTTTATTTCCGATATTTCTTAAACACGATAAATCAAGTGTGACATATCATGTGCATGTGCGCAGAGGCAGGAAGATAATCGTACATGCAATGACTTATGTAGTGTAACGGTGCATGCGGCTGGTCATAGTCACATAGGCATACCATGTGGCTATGCAACATGAGTTACATGACCACAACAGTTGAACCTGCAGCACTACGACCCAACGTGAGTCAGATCGGAACTGAATTGGACGGATATTATTACTACAGGCGATATACTTTGAACTAATCTGGTATGGTTTGCTACACAAAGTCCATTCTTAGGACCGACATATTCTACTGTACGATAAAATTGCTTGGAAGAATAAATTTGCACTTGAAATCCATGTTATGATTATGAAAAAAATGAGAGTTCATTCTTGTAGGCAGTATATTCTTTTACACGACCACACTATAACCGATACACACTGTAATTGTATACTAGAATGATACACTACTGAATCCCCATCCCCCCCCCCCCCCCATGCAATCTCTGTAGATTTGCATATGACTATGCACATTGTGTGTATGTGTGCTAACATGTTTCTTTTGGTGGAACTTAAATTTCGGTAATTTCGGTAAAGAAGGCAGCCATATAAATAATATTTGGATTACACCTACTGGAGTATGTGCTGTATATGAACGGAATGTTGGTCAAATAATGCTAAGTTATACTTGAATTTTGTATTCGTCTGGCCACTCCAGTAATGACCATTGCCATGCATTGACTGCTAGCAGATATTACCTGCTCCATTCAATGGCTCTTCTTCTCAGAGCACCTCATAACCTATATTCACTCGCATCTCTATTGCTGCGTTTCCATTCCAGCCTCTCAAGGAGCTGACGGAAACTCTGGATAGAGTGAGACATGACCTCCAGTCGCAGTGGCAGAAGGAATGCCGGAAGGCAGAGAAGCGGAAGGTACTGCACGTGTTCACATCTTTACTTCTCCAAGCATGCAAAATCTGCAGCAACCTGTGCCATCCTGAATGATAGTGCTAACTGCTTTGTACTGAAGAAAGTCACCAGTCCTTTTTATTGGAGACTTGAAGTCAATTGTGCAAATCAGAAACATTGTTTTGTGGATGTTGATTGTTTTCCAGATGGAAGCTCTCGGAACAATGTACAAGGCCCGTCATCAATATTTGACCAGCTGTGAGGAAGAGAAGGCCCAGTCTCAGCAGAGTAACCACAGTCTGGATACTGCCATCACATCAAAGGTAGCTAGTGTGGTGGGAATTCTCAAATACATTTTGGTAACAGAATGTCTTGCTCCCGCTCCTCCAACACCCTTCAGAGTACCTTCGCCCCGCTCTGTGCCTGTGTAGCGTAGGCATATACAAAAGAGGTAAGAGACTTACAAAATGTGTACAGAATGAGTCGATGACTCATTGCCGGTCACATCCTCAGTCAGGCCCAGATAACTGGGGATGCCAATGTATTTGAAAAGTTCATGAAGCATCGCTTCCTTTGTGAACTCGCTATGCACTGGCTTCACGATTTGCTCAACCTAATGTTAATCCTTTGTGAGTAATTATTGTGCACATGAATGTCATCATAAACCCGTCACCGATATACAAGTTCATCTTCCTGTGTCACGGAACAATGGTCCAGGGATGAAAGACACGCTGGAACTCATGGAGATTCCCATGATTTGGCTAAGGCCCATGTAGAATGCAAACTGAAACAAATACAAAATTTACAATTCTCCAAGTCTGGTTATTGTAAGATCGAGAACCCGAATGGCAGGGTTCATTGCCTACAGCACTCGTTTATCCTACACCATTCTGTCCACCTTTCCACTTGTCCTCTTGTCTGCCGCTTCTGCCTTCCGTGCACCTGTTGGTTTGTCTGTCCCTAGGCCGGTGATTGTGAAGAGTTCTATAAGAAGACGATATCCGTTGCGAACGAAGCTCAAGAACATTTATCCATGCTGCACAGCAGTGCGTTTGATCATATCAACCAGCACGCAACAGCTGCTGGCATGCGATGTCAGGAAGTGAGTTCACTATACTCGGAACTGCCCCTTTGCTTCATGCACATCAATGCAGTGCATGTTATTGATGCGTGGAGGCTGTTTTGGGGCTGTAATCACGTTTAGGCGATATTCATTGAGTGTGGCCGCAAATTTTCCTGTTCCATTTTTGCCATTGTGTTATTATTATTATTATTATTCCACAATCACGATGACATAACGTTAGTGCCAATAAACATGTGATGCGGGCGATTTTAACCAACCATGGTGGGGAAAACTGAGAAAAAGAAGGAGAAAAAAGAACAATGAAAGCAAAACAAGTGTTGGATGCATTATAGATACCAGGGTCTGTTGACTGGAAAATGAAAAATGACATGTGTGTGTGTGTTTTTTTCTTCGTAATCCAGTGCATATCGACATCCATAACAGCAGCACAGTCTCTCTGGGGAGTTCGCTCCAAGGTAAAGCACCATTCTCTTGCAATGCAGGTAACTGTGCACTAGGAAGTCTTGATTGTTGACAGTCCTATCCAAGTACAGTCCTATCCAAGCTGGCTGGCCCAGTAAATACCTTGGCCCAGTTGTCCCTGTTTGGCCTTGGTATACATGCTGTCATATTCTTGCCTTATGGTATTGTCGTGCTCTAGGGAGATATCGGGTCTCCAATGTCGCCAGTGTCTCCACCTTCTCACAAATACTTGGAGCCAGTCACACAGTTGCAGGGAATGGTGTCCAGCTCAGAGGTGTATGAATTTGAGGAGCTTCAGCGTGCCGGCGATGACATTATGTGAGTATGTTAATAACAGTAGATGAATGCTTTCTCTCGTCAGTAGCATTCAGACATTATTGCATGCTTTTTCCCCATTGAGATGTAATTGCATCCTTTCTACATGTATGATGAGCAAAGTTTGGTAAGCTAATGTAGGCACATCAGTTCTGGCTCAAGTTTAGCCTTTAGTCATGAATGCCTGGTGGCCCTTACGGAAATGACTTTCAAATTATATTGTGCTGCCATGTAATTAACAATTATGTCTGAACAAATTTCTCAATTGCAGGCCCTCTAAACCTTCACACTTGCAGTCCAAGGGTTCACTAGCTGCATCCACAGAGCAACTCGAGTCTGGATCATCAGAGCAATCTGCTGTTGTGTCACCTGTCAGCCCCATAATGGCATGGAGCCCGACCCAAAGCAAGCCAGATCTCTCTGCTGCTGCTGCTGCAGCCGCAGCAGCACCACCAGCACCAGCAGCAGGAACAAACACAGCATCAAGTAACGGCACACCAAATCGTATGAGAAGACCCGTCATGCATAGCACACCTGAAATTCACCGCTCAAATGCCTTCCATGCGCGGGATACAGCAACCTCCTTGAGGGGAGAGAGAAGTCGAAAGGTGTCAGACCCAATTCGACATACCGTGATAAACCAGGTAACTTGGTTGTTGTTACTTTTATTTTTGTTCTCATCCTCGTTGTCCTCGTAGTCATTGCCGTTGTCGACGTTACTGTTGTTTTCGATTTAGTCTGTAATTTCCATAGTACATGCCATGCCAAGAAATGTGCAAGTAGTATTCAAAATGTGCTCTCGTGTTAACCTCAGGAAAACTCTCCAGACACAATTGGACGCAAGGGATCGCTAGGTGGAGAACCACTGTCTCCTCTCGCCGCTAGCATGTTCGCCAGAGCAGAAACCGGAACGCCGACGCTCTCACGCCGACTGAAGCAGGCACACTTGCCCGCCGCAACGGAATCACCAACCAGTACGCCGGGCAGTGTTCGCAGAAAGCATGCAGGTAAGTGATTGATGACGTAGATATGTCTCTTATCAAATCACACTTTGGTGCAGTGAGTTGGGAGGCACAGATTTTAGTACGCACTGCAGCACTGTTGCAAATTCCTTGCTCTTTTAGTCATATTTCTTCTGGAAACACTTTTCTGCAGCTTGAGCTTCTGAAAGAAAATCTGATTTGGCTAATTAATGTGTTATGAAATCCCGATGTCTTTGATGGGCACTGACATTGTGGAACACAAACATATGCACTCTACGTGCAAAGCTGAATACTTTCCCACAGGTTAAATAGCTCTGTTGAAAAAGGAGAGAGCACGGATGTTGTTAGTACACAATATCCGCTCTTCATCCGCCGTTGATTTGTTACAGTACAGCAAGTGCATTGTTGTTTCTAACCCAATATTGGTTATACATGTATTTCACTCTCAGAGCCACCGAAGATGCAAAGAAGAATCTCCATGTTCATGGGTGCGGAGATGTCCCCCGAGGCCGAGATGCACAACTTCCAACGGCTACGCAGTCCCACGAAATGCTGCCATTGCGAATCATACGTCTACTTCAGCGGTGCAGAATGCAAACAGGTGTGTACACAATGTGCATGCGCCGCAGTCATGCTTGATGAAATCCACATGGATCACTGTACAGCCTTTCCACTGCAAACACGTGTTAGACGTCCTATTCGGATTGTTTTGTATTCACGGCAGACTGATGCCATACTTGATTACCCTTCACTGTGAATAGGCACAGTAGTCAGATCTCGGACAAATGTTTGACAGCTTTGACAGTATTTTGGTGTGATATGATTTGTTTTGACTTGCAGTGTGGCATTGCTTGCCATCGAAAGTGTTTACAGCGGCTGTCGGCAGAGTGCCTCATACCACAAGAGAACACAGCTGGTCTGGTGAGTCAACTGTTAGCTATTCTCATAGTATTGCTGTTGCTGCTGCTGCTGCTGGTGGTGGTGGTGCTGCTGCTGCTGCTGTTGCTGCTGCTGCTGCTGCTGGTGGTGGTGGTGGTGGTGGTGGTGGTGCTGCTGCTGCTGCTGCTGCTGCTGCTGCAGGTGCTGCTAGTTCTTTGAGGAGTCATCCACACCAAGAACTATGGAACATTATTTATGTTGGTGTCTGTGCACTACATGGTTTCAGAGTTCCATTTATAGAAGGCTTCTATCTATTGTTCTTGCACTTGTCTGGGCTCAGTCGTGTCATATTGGATTAGAGCTGCAGGTCACGTTATGCTTATTGTTTTACTTGTTTAGACCTTGCCGCGAATTGTCTGCACACTTCAACGCAGCCATTTGCACATTTAGGAAACTTCACTTCTCAACTCCAAAAACGGTCTCTTCACTGCGATTCAAATTCAAATTCAAATTTACATTACATTGTTTATACCTTGTCTCGAATTGGTTTCCAACATTTGCCATGCTGTGTCTGTGTTTAGGGCAAGAGAATCAAAAGAGCGATGAGCACGTTTGGCATCAACATGTCCAGTGTGGTGACGCGCAGTTCACAGGACGTGCCGGCCATAGTGCCCGCCTGCATCAAGGAGGTTGAGGAGAGGGGCCTGAGCCACGTGGTGAGTTTCATTACTGACTAGTGATGATAGTTTTGCATGCGAACTTGATATCTGGTCACGTGGTATTCTATGCCTGTAAACTATTGTTGTATTGAGCTAAGGATCTAAACTAAGGGTGTTGAACAAATGATTTAAGCCAGTGGGCATTGAACACATGATTTGCTAAGGACATTGAGCGGGTAACATTAGAGCCCTTTCATTTTCTCATTTTCTTCCTTTCTTACCCGCTTCCTCCTGTTTTGTGTTCATGTGTAGGGGATCTATCGTCTGTCTGGAGTCAAGTCAAAAGTGGAAAAGCTCTGCCAAGTAAGTTTCAGTGACACTGTAGGAAAGGATTTGACACTTCCAATCTTCCATGCACTATTGTAGTCTGCCATTCAGAATCACAATCCAAATTCTGTAATGGTGAATGCTCATATGATACGTAGACCGGACCTAACTTGTTGGTGGCTTCAAGTATGCTCCTGTTATCAGCAAGCTTTCTCCCTGAACTCCTCTACAAGTACATGTATCAACGATCACTGTCAACTCCAGCCTTACAGCTGATCTTGTTTTTCAACAGATTGTTTGCATTGCTGGATTATATATCCTATGAAAGGATTATTCCGATTGATGTTTGTACTTTACAGCAATTTGAAAAGGATGGCGGCAAGGCTGACATCAAGCTGAGCACCTACCCACCCACACTGATAGCATGTGTGCTCAAGCTCTTCTTTCGGCAGGTAAGTGTGTTGTTGAATAAACTTTGACCTCAAACACTGAATCAAACTGATACAGATGCAAATGCAGATGCAAAGTTATTTTCTTCTAAGTGTTGTACAAGTTTCCATATTATCCTCATGCTCCCCTGTTTCTGCTGCTGTTCCTCCTCCTCCTCCTCCTCCTCCTCCTCCTCCTCCTTCTCCTCGTCCTCGTCCTCGTCCTCCTTCTCCTCGTCCTCGTCCTCCTTCTCCTCGTCCTCGTCCTCCTTCTCCTCGTCCTCGTCCTCCTTCTCCTCATCCTCCTCCTCCTTCTCCTCGTCCTTGTCCTCCTCCATCTCCCCTCCATCTCCATCTCCCCTCCATCTCCTCGTCCTCCTCGTCCTCGTCTTCTTCCTCCCCCTCCATCTCCTCCTCCTCCCTCCTCTTCCTCCTCCCTCCTCCCTCCTCTGGTATATTTCCTATGCTATGGCCTATGCATTTGGCCTTTTACCCTTTGGTGCTCATCTCTAATCTGTGATAATACTTCCAATCATCGAGACCCCGTCGACAGGCGAGATGCCTTTGGGAATCCCTAAATAATAAACGTTCAAGCTTTCAAGCTTTCTTCCTTCTCCCTCCTCCTCCCCTCCCTCCCTCTTCCTCCTCCTTCTCCACCCCCCCCCCTCCTCTCTCCTCTTCCTACACCTATTTCTCTCTCCTATTCCTACAACTTGTTTTCTCTCCTCCTACACCTACACCTCTTCCTCTTCTACTCTTTCTGCAAATCGTTCTTCTTCTCTTCCCCTTGGCCTCAGATATTCATACTGCAATGTTTTGTCATCCATATTGACATTCGTGTATGGTGTGTGCATGTGTTTGTTCAGCTTCCAGAGCCCTTACTGACATACAAGCTGTACACCGAGCTCATCAAACTTGGCCAGGTAGGTTCCTGCACTGGTACATGCAAGATCACGGTGTGAAAAGCATGCTTGGAACATCCTGATTTCACCATACCTTTACTGGAATGTGAGTACAGCCACTGAAACATAGGTTTAGTTTTGTTTAATACTTCGTAAAGAAAACTTCAGCTGGGTGCTCCTGATGTTTTGCATCAAGTTGGCACTTGAACTCTTGTTTCTGCATTCTATGGTCCTGTTTATCTCGTCAGGATGGGTTCATTGGAGATGCAGAGGATGATGAACAGGCCAGGAAGCACGAACAGACCATTCAGAAGCTGCGTGCCGTGCTGGCTCGACTACCGGCACAAAACTTCTACACAACAAAGATACTGATGGGTCATCTGTCAATGTAAGTAGACAAACTATTCGGTATCGTACAAGGCAGTAGATATGTCAAGGCTGGTCTTTGATCTGTGACTCATCTTATGGTAAAACCTGACTCTGCAGACAGTGTATGATGAAGCACAATGGTGACATTAAGTGATACCCAACCCACGAACCCAGGCTGAGAGAGCCATTGCACTGCAAACACAGAGGCTCTGTACTGTGCAAAGACCAAAGCATTGCTGTACCCGCCGCAGAGTTGAAGTTCAATTGCCGTACAACTGCAGCCCGTATTCCTGATAGGCATGTTGTGACCTTGCTCCTAACTCCGTAAGTAGTGCATGGAGGCTGAACTATACAGATCAGTGTGTCCGATGATCAAGCACTGTGCGTTTGATTGTGTCGCTGAAACAGTGTGTTCTCTGTGCCCGTATCTGCTTGTACTGGATACCTTACAGCGTTGCCAGCCATTCTAAAGTCAATAACATGACAGAGAGCAATCTGGGAATTGTCTTTGGTCCGACCATTATTCAACCGAGAATGAAGCAGTAAGTACTTGCAGAGATGTCTGTATTGCTAGGCTGCCAAGTCTCAATGAAGCTGTTTTATTGCAGGTATAGATGAAAAAGAGTTTTGCATGACCTCATGCCATATGACAATGTCCAGCAGAGTGTGGGGTGGGTAATGGTCATAAGTTGATTGTTTTTTCTCGCATCTATGTTGGGTATTTCCTCATCCTCCTGCACATGTGGAGCAGGTATACAGCTATGCCTTGTCAGGTTTTGAATCCTACTCTACTCTTAAAAAGAATATGTGTTGTGTACTTTACATATGTTTGCCAACCCGCATGCAGAGGAGAACACACGTCAACAGTGAGGGCCCTGGTAGATATGCCTCACCAGTCCAAAGCAGTGGAGTTCATAATCAAAGGTTTTGACGAGGTAAGTTTGCCTAGACTGGATACAACCAACTGCTACTCGAATAGCCCCATGGTCCAAGTCTGACCCTAGGCTTCTGTGCACACTATTAGTTGTATTGTATTGTTTATTTACGGATTCTCCAGAGGTAAATGGATACCTATCATGGGAGTCTCTCCAAACCAATAGAATAATGAAAAATAAAAGGAATAAAACTCAAATAAAATCTGAGAATTTAAATCAAAGTGTGTATGTTTGCTGTGGCTGTGGCTTTACATCCATGAGATGCTCAAGTGACTAGGGCTCGACATATTCTATATTTGTTTTTAAGGGAGGTGAAAAGGTGAAAAGGGAAACACTCACTTTATTGCTGCTGTTGTGCTCTCCTCGCTATGTATGTGTGTTGATACCTGATTCAGATCTTCACAGCTGACCTTGAGCCCGTAACTCTGAGAAGTGTCGGCTCAGCGGTAAGTTACAAATTTAGTACGGTTGATTTCCGATATGAAGTGATCTAACAGTTGTGTTGATAACACTCGGCAGCATGGCAATAGGATGTAGCAGAATAAGTGGTTTTAAACCGATTAGAACCCCCTCGAACTAATGAATAAAACATCTAGTCCTTAAGAGAAGGTCAGACTGTGGCAAAATGAAATAATCCTTTGATTATAATCCGAATGTCCAAAATAACTTGAGACCACAGCGGCAAAATCAAGGCATGACGCTAACGGGGAAAATTGGGAATCGACTTTGTGTTCCTGCTTCAAAACAGGAGCTTGACATGTCATTGTAGCTGATACTCACTGGCTGTGTTATCTTGATATTGAAGTGCTGGGGGTGCTCAGTGGTCATGGCAAACAACACAAATTAAAAGAAATGGTGCTTGGATTGCACTGAAGGTTCTTGGGCAGGCTAGGGTCAGGGAATTCGTAGGAACCCATGAATACTACTTGACATGTGTCACCGTGCCAAAGTTTGTGTTTGCATTCTGCACAGTTATAACTTCGGGCAGGCGTCATTATGATCGTCATTATGATCCTGAACAACATCCTCTTGGAATTAGGCACCAATATTTTCCGTAGTCTAAGAAGGCCCCAAGGAACATCTGCAGCCATTTGAACGGGCAGAGATTCAATTTTCTAACCTTTCTCTCTCCTCTCGTCTATTTTGCAGGAGTTTCTTGGCTCGCAGGGATCACTTGGTGGCAGTGTCGATGGTAGGTGTTCTTAGTGGATGGTTTTCCTGAGCCAATGTCTGATGTGTGCACCGGCTTGTAAACTGATTGTCTGCAGTTGGCTCCGTTATATATTTCGGTCATTCAAAATGTTCTGTATTTCCCTGTATTGTCACATGCATTCTAGATCTCGTTGGAGCTGAATCAGCAGACACGAGGTATGTTCTACTAGGACAGTTTAGTTTGAAATTCATATGGTACCTACATGTACAATGACATACTACAACTAGAGTCCCCGGCTGCTATTTTCACACCCTCCCCGAATGTCAATGGGCGCAATTCAACATGGGTCACTGTCTGAGGGGCTTAGTGTTTCAATCAGCAATATAAGGTTTCCGCATTGTTTGTGTATTCATACTGTCCACAATTTTGAATGTGGACCGGCAGCAGGAAAAAAACACACAAAGTAAGCAAACATGTTAAAAGTTATCAGTATGACGTCTAGCACTATGACCATATCATCAGGTCATGTGTGTGTTGTATCTATGTGCTATTGAATTTGATGATGTGTTTGCTGATGGGTGTGATACATTGACAAAGTCAGTCAAAGAAAAGACGGGGTAATCTGAGGCTACACCATGCAGCATTAAAAATTTGTCTACTCCATTTTGGTTGTCTTCTTAGGTTTTCTATGCTATCTGAGCTGGATACTATGTGCTCATTACTGGAAGCCGTGAAAGAACAGCGAGACATCCGTGCAGCTATCAACCCTGGCTCGGAGCAGTGTCTGCCTGGTGCCGATGCCACTGTTACTGATGGCAAGGCGGTCTTCAGCACGCTGCTGCCGGGAGAGATTGATCAGATGGAGAATGCACTCAATCACATCAAATCGGAAAGCACCGAGAGCGGCATAGGCAGTGTTGACGAGAGTGAAGAGCTCATTCAGTTCGTAAAACGTCGTCAAGAGGTCATAGATCAGCAAGCACAACTCCGACAGGCTCTACATCAGCAGCAAGGTAGTCTAACTAGTAACTCTGACAATTCATCACCATCTCCACCTCCAAACTCCACTGCCAGTTCAACAGCAGCTACAAATTCTACGGACAGTAATGGCTTACCAGTGACCCGGAGGGAACGGAAAGGCTCACTGCCATCATCCATGGCAGTTGAAACCCGTCCATTCATGCAGAGGAGCCAAACACAAGCCAATCTGGGGAGGGGTCAGTTAGTCCAGTCCGACGACTTCTTTCGCCAATCAACAGAAGAGGTCATACAGCAGCGGCGTAGAATCAGAAAGGAAAGCCAAACGCGGGCAAGTCCTTCTAGCTCTCGTCCTACATCCGACATTGTGCAGCTAGACTCTCCCGCCGGCGAAAGACAACCTAGATTGGAGTTCATTGAAGAGAAACAAGATGCTGCCAGTGCAGAGAATGTGTTCAGCACTGAAGCTCCGCTGGATGCCGAGAGCCATCTAGGTGTTACCTTGCCCACATTCCCAGAGTCATCGGCAGAGCTGTGTGACACTGAGGAGGAGGAAGATGATGAGGAAGACAATGGGAGTGAGCAAGCACAGCATGAGCAGCACCTCAATCCTCACAGCGGTCTCCAGCCTATCACCACCTATGTCAGCACTGGGCCTGGCAAGAACGATGTTGACACGACAGTATCCGTAGCCAATCCGCTCCTTGCTGCCAGTCCATTGAAGATAGCCGCCATAAGAGAGAACTCGCCGAGTACAAGTGGGACATCGGGCGACAAAACGGACCATGAGGATGACAAGTCAGTCGACTCGCTTTCATTCGAGTCAGACAACGATGATGAGTCATCTGTACTAAGTTTTCTGCCATAACCGAGTGGAGCGTAATACATGTCATAGTGCTTTCTGTCGCAAGCCACTCAGGCCATTATGGCACTGCACAAAACATGCTTGGAATTACCAAAGTAGTGTCATGTCATGCATGGCTTAAAATCATACTACTACTGCATTGCCGATGTAGCAAACCTTTCATTATGATATTCAGCTTTGTATTCATCCATTGCACTTGAGATGCATGTCTTGAGATCATGGCACTGTGCAAACTCCATGCTTTTGATACACTGCCATGCCACTTTATGAGTGTATGCAGTCAAACCTTGAGATACTTCGCTATAATCAATAATTATGCCATATATTTAATATGTTCTGCTGACATTGACCACAACACGACATGCTGCTGCTGGATTTGGATGGCTTCAGGGATGAGGTTTCCAATTTTCGGCGAGGACCTGGGCTGCTCTAGAAATGTACGTTTGCGTACTGAGGAGCTTTGTGGCATTTGCAGCCGTTTCCACAAACCTTCATGGTTACTTTCCCAAGAATTTCATCTCTGAAGTTCCACTGCAGCAAGATTATGTTGTGACCTTTGGACATTTGGAAGTTTGGCCACTAAATCCGGGTAACCACATTTTAGGATCATGCCTTTGAAGGCAATATTGTAGAAATAACCGTGACTAATTTCAGTCTCCAATCTCCCCGATCAAGAGGCTCCCTGCTGCATGGAGATTGAGAAGAAAAAAATCCCTCCATGCCTCCGTGTTTAGCCTCAACAAGACATGTGGAGGAAAATAGAATCTTTCTATTGTTCAATACTAAATTTGAATAGATGAGGAGGAACATGAGGTATTATAGGTGGGCGCAAGGCAAAAAGTGAAAAGCACTAGAACGCCAATATGTTTGAAAGGAGCATGGCAGTCGTCCTCATAATCATTATTATCAATCATGTCGAATGTGTCAGGAATTGGGACTAAACAGTCAGAGAATGCTAACACTTGGTGATATTGACCAAGCAGCAAGGCAGGCACGAAGAAGAGTCAAGACATAAACGAGAAGCGACAAGCTACTACATTGTGGCAAATTGACAAACTCCTAGCGTTTAAGGCAGCAGCTGGCTTCAGTGGCACAAGACTGCACGTGGCTGATGTGTCGTGTTGTAGGGGGACTAGTCAGTGCAAATGATCTAGAAAAGACCACACTTCTTCTTCAAGTTGCTTCGCTTCCACTGTGGCAGTTTGTCATACTCTGACAGCGACATACCAAAGACCTTCTCGAACTCAGAGTCCTCCAAGTAGTACTGCGGAAAAGAGAAGACAGAAAGAAATGCCCATTAGGTTATCTTTGAAACGTTCCGGCATAGGTTGAGGGAATGGAAAAGGGAAAGGTCTGTAGAAAAACTTGACTGTCACCACCAGGATTTGAACCAGGGACCTTCGCTTGAGGGCGGCAATGCTCTAACCACTGAGCTATGGCGATATAGGCAATAACCCTCAGTATAACTTTATATTCACCTCATGTAGAGATTTGTGGAAGAGAGCCTTGTTGGCACGGTGGTGGATATGCATGACCATTGATCAAATGTGCCCAGGATCAAGTAATGACCTCTAGCCTAAGGGTCCTGCCTTCTTCTTTTTTTCTCCTAGTCTACTTTAAAAAAGTGGCGTCCAGTGGCATGGCAGAATTCTTACCTCCTTGTTGACGATGTCGACACCTTCTGGACAGCTGGACTTCAGTACATCAAAGGAGTGCTTCTTCTCATACTTGGACAGTTCCTGCACAAAGCAAACCGGGATGGCCATGTCAGTTTACATAATCAGGAAGAGCAACAGAAAGAAGAGATTGAAGACCAGTGATTCACTTTGAATTACACCTTCGAACTACGCCGCAAACAAGAAAACAAAAATGATCTTAACTCCGAAATGGAATCTCATTTGATGAAATTGGTGTAGGGATTATTCATTGCATCACATACATGCTCGACAACTAGCCACTTACGTCAGATACGAGGGTGACGCCGACATTCAGGTTGTCCATCATGCTCTCCAGAGATCGTGCACTCTGTAGATACATACGATGGAGGAGACAGGGAACAAATCCATGCAGTGTAGTGTTCAAATTCATTGACCATAAGACCTTGCAAGCCAGACATCCTCTAAACTTGAACTGATTGCTTTCTAGAAGGCAAGCTTATATAATAATGATACTAAAACACATCAATATGATCATATTCGACAAGAGGGAAGTAGCTAACCAATGTGCAGGCATCGCAACTATTTATTTGCTTTGAAAGCATCACCACCGATGTTGTTATCATGAGCACGTTACACAGCTACAAATCAAGACCACTGCTTACCTCCCATTTCTTGGGATCCCATCCGAAGAAGTGGCAGGTGAAGGTGATTGGTTCGTAACCTTGTTTTACCTGCAGACAGGTGAACAGAAATCAGGATACTTGAAATTTTATGACCATTTGAACCGTGGTTTTAGACCATTTCATTACGGCTGCCTGCTGCAATTAATTTCTTTTCTAGAACTGGTGTCGTTCAATGTCATGCACAGAGCTGGAATAGCCAGGATTATGACGAGTAAGATGAAAGTGTTACTGCAGTATACTACAGAGTGGTCTAATCTGGTGTCTAAAACGGCTCAGTCATCAATGACCTACCGGCAACACACTATGCTGCACAGTCAAATAGCCATTGCAAAAGGAATGTACACCGCGCTGGAAACTGCTATTTTCAGACACACACACGCACGCACGCACGCACACACACACACGTACCTGAAGTAAGTTAGTGCTATCCAGGTCACGCTGGGCCGGGTCACTCTTGATGTACTCCACGGCGGTCTTCAGTGACATCTCCTTCTCCACAGCGTTGGCATTCTTGCCAATCCAGACAAAGACTTGATCAAATGTGTCCAGGATCATGACATCGTCCTCAATCAGATCCTCCTGCGTGAACTCGGGAATTTCCTCGACACGGAACCCACCAGTAGCGTTGCTGCATTGGAAGAGGCGTGGTGGTGCCTGCTGCACTTCATCCTGAAATGAAACAATGCAACAGAACACATTATGGTACTGGGCACAATGGGGTATGAGTCAGGAGAATGGGGGCAGATCTATCAACCACACTCCAAAAAAAAGCTCTTGAAGCGTTTTTCAATGTTAATGTCTGCTCAAGCCATATGTGACAATGATCTTCTAAGTCAGTCTGAAGCTGATTTCCTCCGGAAGTTTGCTGGACAGTCACACTCTCAGATTGGTGGACCAGGTTACAGTTATGGACTCGCAGAATCAGGAAGGAGTCGTCTGCACTGGCAAAGAGAGACTTACAAAGAGCCGTGGGTTGTCGGCATACGCGGTCTTGCCTCCGAGGCCAGCCCAGAACTCATCAGACTCCTTTCCTTCCAGTGTCAAGATGTGTTCCCTGCAATTGAGACAAGAAAGAAGAACAGGATTCATGAACACCAATGATAAAACTTCCTCAGGGTCCTAGTGGTGTTTTCATACTAGTAGTGGACTGGCTCAGTAGTAGAGAGATTAGAACCCTGGAGATAGAGGGCATGGTACAGTGTGCACACTTACACCACTATCGTATATACATGTACTAGCATCCATCCTCAAGCAGTCAAATTCCTGTAGAGAGTACCAATCGGCACACAGTCTCCACACTCACCCGAAAAAGGTGAATGTGGAGATGTTCAAAGCCTTTTGAGTTTGGCTGCAATAACTTACCTCTTCGATACACCCTGAGCGACATGCTTTGCCAGCTCTCTCTCGTCTCCACTGCATCCCTACAAAGCAGCAGTCGAAAAAGCCAGATACATGTACATGAATAACCCGGGATGATGAGGAACGAATTCAAACTGGTCTTTCCTGTCATCAGCAATGCTATTTTAGTGAAAATCAGTGGTTACCAAACATCAGACTCCTTTCACCTGAAAAAGCTGTACAGGTTTTTGTATCTACTTCGAATTACTGCAATAACGATAAGTTCAAGCAGTGAGCAAACTGCCATGGTACCAGTTGCAATCTAGCCATATTATAAACTATAACAATTAAGATAAAAGCAAATATTAGCAATACAAAGTACTTCAGTTTCCGCCGACTTCCATGGTGTACCTTTCGCAAGACACAAACCTAGAGCATTTTTCCAATGAAATCTTACCTTTCCACACCAGATGTATGTAGCCGTGGGTGTCTCCAAGACAAAAGCATCATTGCTGTTCAAGCTGCTGGCCTTCTCCTCAACCTGAAGACGATTAACAGATCATACGGTATCATTATTAAATGACGAAGGAACATAATTATGTAGCATCAAGTCAGTCTCATTCACAATTCTCTCGCTGATTAATGCCTCTACGATCACCTTGTGATTATGAGTTATACATACATACATACAAGTCAGTCTTCATAGCGTTCGTATGATTCCATCATTATTACTATCAACTTATCATGATTCATTGCATGCAGAGTTGGCCAAAGATGCTTACCTGGACTGCGCGTGTGTTGACCTCTGATGTTCCCTTGACGTGGAACAGTCTTGTGCCATCGGTATCGTACGAGTCTGTGTCTGCAATGTTCTTGAAGCCGCTGGCTTTGCCACCCTATGCAACAGAAGAACACCAAATAGAACATGAGTATATGAGAACATGCATGGAACGGATACTCAATGCTTGGAAAGTGTATAGGGATCCTTCATGATGCAACCAGCATAGCCCCCCCCCCCCCCCCCCCCCCCCGTTGACACGGTTCAAACACACATGTGCAGGCACACCCCGGCATGCAAACAGGTAAACTACATTGTGCCCTGCCATACAGAATACATAATGTTAGAGGAGTCAAGGTCAAGCATAGCTTTGTACTCGACTATGCGGTCAGCCATCATAAACCTATGTACTATGACACTGTCAGTACAGACAACTGATCACATAATACGAAATTTGCGTTGCACGGCACTTACTTCATGGATGACCATGCGGCCCTTGAAGATGCTGTAGAAATGCTGTGGCTCCTTGCCCTGGACAACGCGCACCTGTGGTCCCAGTTACACAAGCAACAACATTGGCATGTACACAAGTCAATACTTTGGAAATACTGGTATGATGTTTTGACGAGATTGACTATACTGATCAGCTTTCCATGCCACACACGTTGACCGTGCGCATGTTGTAAGACTAAGTAGATACAAGTAGTAACATACAGGTATCCCGGGTCCAGAGGATCAATGCTCAATAAGTACACACTGATGGGTATTTTGGTGTCTTTCTACTCGTAATGCATGAATCAATGTACGACAAGCGACCCAGCTGCATCTGCCAATGAAAAGACATGCACTCATATACACATACATACCTGCACGGGACGACCTCCGAGGCTGTCATCCAGCTCCTTTGCATGCAGTGCAGAGGCACCACGCTCGTCCTGGGAGCTCGTCAGACCCTGTGCAAGCAAGCACGCACGCACGCACGCAACACAAAAGTAAGGTACAGTATGAAGCATTCAAGGCAACTGATATTACAGACCAAAAGCCTCAAATATCCATCACCAGCTCAGGGAAGATCCACTATAGGTAATTCTCCGATACGTTGGTCAGACAGTTTCGGCGTGCAGCATGCATGGTACACAGTGGTCTAAACCACTCACCTGCCAGAAATAGATGTAGAAGTGCTCAACGCCGTTCACTTCATACGTGTACTGGATAACGTAGCTGTCACCGCCGAAGAACTGGCCGTACAGGTGCTGTTCCTGGGGAACCATCTTGAAATCCTCAATACGCCATACCTACAGAAACAAGACGGCCATGACAGAAGAGTTACACCACCACCACAGTGAGATTCAAAGTGAAGGACATGTATATCAACGAGCTAAATTTTAGGTTCCACGTGGATTGAAACTAAAACTTTTACAGAGACTTTGTTGAGGAGAGATAAAAAGTCATTTGTTCGCAAGTTTAGGTAAGTATGCTCGGGCTAGACACAGTCTACTGGCTGCTCCTTGGAATGCAGTGTCTGAATGTTTTCTAGCTGGCATGGCAGAAACAAAGCCAGAGAGACCGTGATAAAAAGACACCAGTAGATCCCAGGCTCCCGGACACGCCGCGTACCTGGACCTTGCCCTGTCCGTCGTCTGGTTGACGTGGCTTCTCGGCCTCCGCTCTCTGGTGCATGCTCTTGGCATCAACCTTTGCTGGGGTCTTGGGGCCAGCAGCTGCACATGTAGACACAGCACACAAGCATAGCGTGACGGGAAAGTTCAAGTTACAGAACAAGAAACATTGTCTCGTTTCCTGCATTTGGTGTATACCGCTCTGTACTACAGTGCATTGCCACGGCACTCTATTCGAGCTTCCTCGACTGGCTCTGATTGCAACATGTAAAGTGTGCTCACTCTGTCTGCATTACTCGACTTGTGTATACAAAGGATTGTGGTCCTCCTTCTCATCTGTACAGTATAAGCGTGTGTACTCGATAGGTGAAAATGTAGTGCTGGGTTTCTTACCGACTCCGCGTGACTTGGAGTACGTGCCAGTCTGCTTTCTCTCTGGCCAGTCTGAGAAGCTGTTCTTGAACATTGGCGTCTCGGCACCTTCTACAGTACGTGTGACTGGAGTCCAGTCTGGATAGCCCTTCTCTGCCAGGAAGCCCTGTAGTGGATCACACACACACACACACCATGGTAATCATCAGTAACTGTAGCTGCTGAATAGTGCGCCTTCCATTTGAATCAACACCGTGACATAGGATTTGGCAAGCTCTATTGGTTTCATTACATGAAGGCAGAATATTCATGTGGACCTTTAAGGATAGCGAGGCTTTCAGTACAGTTGGCCATGACTTTATCTCTGACAGTATCACATCCTGCACAAATCAAGTCCAGTGTTGGTGCATGCTGTTTTTGTTCCTCGCTGGCTCTGGATCAAAGTGAATATAGGCTTGTCTTACTGTTGCAATCTTCATGGCATTCTTCTTCTCGTCGGCGGTGGCCTTCTTTCCAATCCAGGCATGAACACCACTTGCACCAGTGTCCAAGATGAAGCAGTCCTGAGCAGGCAAAACAAAGGGAAAGAAATTCCAGTATCTATCTATGGTATTGATCAATGTCACATGACCTATTTGCTTGTGTCATGATTGTGATGGGTATATTGTTGCTTTGAAACTTTTTTTGTACCAGTGGGATCCTTCTACTACGTTGCTTCTGTTTTGCCCTCTTCCGAGAGGCTCAGGCAAAAGCTACTTGTTGTACTTGATCCGTTGGAGTTTTTCCCTCCTATGGCACATCATCATGGAAAGACAGAGATTCAGCATCACGCTAAATCTGCTGATGTATGTTCTAGAGTTGCCAGACATGTCCACTTACATTGGTGTCGAGCATGGCGTATTTGAGCGGCTTGCTGCCAACTTCCTCCACCTTGAGTGAACCACTGGCATCAGATACCCTGCAAAGAGGACGACACATTGCAAGCAGTGATCAATTAGATGGTCACTGGAGCTTGGCAATCACCATTGACTATTTGAAAGGGCATAATATTGAAACAAATACGCTTGTAGAGAAGTGAAGTAAGGCCGGTGTGTGATCAAATCGACCATGGCTAATCACTCACTTGAACAGTTTCACACTGCTGGCGTTCTTCCTCTCAAAGGCAGCATCATCTGCAGCAGCGCTGGCTGGCGCAATTTTGCTTTCCTTCGTTCCAAGATCCTTGAAGAAGTCTGCATTGTCATCAGCCTCCTCTATAAAACCCGATCACAATAGAGCACCACACAATGTAGATCATTGGAATATGGTCAGAAAAACAGTGTGGAGTAGATCTGTAGATGGGTAGCCCAAGTAGTGTTAGTTCATGAACTATGCAATCAGGGCAAAGGTGCACAATGCATGTTAGCGCAACTCCTGGGCTATCCAAAACCATATTCTCAAATTTAACAATGGCTGATCAGGTTGTGAAATGATGTGTTGTTTCCTGTGTGATGGCATTCCCCAAACTGTCTCGTCCAGTCGCGTGCATGTGTGATATGAGCATGCGCGATGTTGTAGTCGAGAGTCCTTTTGTCAGTCTTCTTGTTCGTCTCTTTGAGTGTAGTCTCCATTTCCGTCATGTCAACAATATAATGTAAAACACTTTGAACCAGTACTTGTCATTTGTGTCCTGCGTCCCGGGGAACGGAATGGATGAGATTCCGTAACAATCATCATTGATGTCAATCATCAGCAATGCACAGCCCATGAAACAGAATTCTTTGATATCCGGCAAAAGCATACCTGTGACGTGGATAATGGCCTTTCCATGGCGCTCCTCATCGCGGATCTTCAGAGCCGTCTCCAGACCCTTCATCTTCTCCAGTCTGCTGGCCTCTGAGCCGTTCCAGACCCAGATCTTTCGGCCAAGGTCAACGATGAACACATCACCCTGGTTGAGCGACTTGGCCTCGAAGGCAACCTGGAATTGGAAGGAAATGAATACAGTTACAGGGCATTCTCATTCAATAGTACACTGCAATGCTGACTTGATGGACCCATGTTACGACTTAGTGATGCAATGATTAGACCATCATTATGCTACTTTGCAGTGACACAGTGTAGGTAAAACAGGGTAAACATGGATGCATGTATTGCGCACACCGTGCTGACATCCTGTACCTGTTGGACGCGGATGTTTCTGCGTCCCTTAACATGGAGCATGCGCTTGCCGAATGCTTCACGGTCGACGGCCTTGAAACCTGACTTGATTCCACCTTCCAGGTACCTGCATTGTCATAGTAACAGATGCCACGAATTGAATACGATATAGTCACGTACATACAATAATGTACTTCAGTACAATATATCTGAACTCAAAATAGACAACAGTAATGCAGATTTTTGCATGAAGAAATTTTCCATTAAAAGTCTATTCCAGCAACATTTTGGTACAGTTTGGAAGTAGTGTGAACATGCACTGGCATGCAGTGACTTACGAAACGCCCTTCTTGAACAGCTTGAGGAAGGTATTGCTCTCATGGTGCTGGACCTAAGGCCGCAACATGTGGACATGTATACAAATACACAGAACCATAGTACATTAGTAGTATTGAAATGCAGAGGCATCATCTCTTTGCACTTAAAAACCTGCTGTTCAAAAGAGTTGAAACACTGGGCCTGAAGCCATTGCAAGAATGATCTCCTGAAGCTGACCGCCCCACATCACGCTGAGATCTTGGGCAACCCGCTACACTTACACAGTATTACTATAGTGAACCTAAGAAATCCATTGAACTACAGCAGTCATGAACTAGAGCACTTCGGTCTCCTGGAGCATGCCATCATGTTTCCTGCAAAAGTCTAAAAATGTGTAACAGAGACAGTTTAAAATGTGTATAAGAGAGACAGTTTCACTCTACGGAACACCATGGGAATACCGGGCCTATTCATTCGTCATCTACTTTCACTGACTGTGAGCTCTGGAGCAGCTGGCAATATCAATGCTGGCACAGAATTGCCTTGGCTTGATTCGAGCATCATACTGACCTCACGATATTGGACTGGGCCACCACCGAGGGAATCATCCAGCTCAACTGTCTTGTAGGCAGCGACTCCCTTCTCATCCTGTGTGGCAGCAGGCACAAAGCAATCATAGGTCACATGTTCCAGCAACACCACCGACAAAGCACTGGAAGAGTATTGTACAAGATATACATTGTATGCCGGGCATGAATGGAAGTGACCCGCATCCAGCAGGCTATCCGATCGCTGAATCAACACAATCTAGTTACACCGTATGGACAGCTGACCAGAAAGTACGGGAATTCCAACTGCAGTGCAGTGGACTGAGTACGGTGCAATACAACTCAGCCAACCACCTCCTAAGGATATGCTCGTGTTGCAGTAATGCCGTCATGTACATTTCCTCACTGAATGCCAGGGCTACGCTGGTACATTGTATTGTAGCTCAAGATTTGCCCCAGCCAGCAGCGAGCCAGCTATACCGATGTGTAGGGGGTAGAAAGAACTTCAAAGAAGTCATAATAACTCCATGAGCACCAGAGATGAGTCAGTTGTTGTTAACACATGATGAGATGTAAGCAGACGCGTACATACGTCAGTAGAGACAGTAGTAGAGTGAGCAACACTCCGGCAAACTTGCCATCATCAGCGGCAGACGTCCAGGTATCCATGGTAGGCCCATCTTGAAAATTACTAACCTAGGTGTTCTTCGCATCTAATTTCTCAATACCCTTATAGCCATGCTGCAGTCATCCTGGAATAGATTGGAATTCTATACCCGGCTGTACTGTTTTTATGGGCCATTGTTGGTGCACAGCTTCCTGATTATATCTGTTTAAAAATCTTCCTTCCCAATATTATTATTCAGTTGTGTTTATTCATCATGGATGTAATTGAACTCTGATCTCAGCTGATTCAGTTCATAACCAGTGTTACTTTAGGCTGTACGAAGAGCAGCACACAGCCTGCGCAACACACACACACACACACACACACACACACACACACACACACTTGTACTTGAACTTGTTGCTCACTGCCAAAACTGGTCACGTGGGTCTCCCCGGGAGAGGGGAGAGAGACTCAAAAGGAATCTTGGAATGATGGCTCAATTGGCTATTGAACCGCCCAACGGCCGACACCCCCCCCCCCCGAAATCCCCAAAACTCTGGGTGGACTTGAAAATGATCCCACTTATGGGCTCACCACGCCCCAGTAAGTGGGTGAGGACAAGGTGCAGAACAAGGATTGACGACATTAGGGTATCCATCCTGGGATCCAACTGCAGTTACCCCTGTCCCCAGTGAACACACACACACACGCGCGCGCGCGCGCGCCCACACACACACACACATACACACACACAGTGACACAGTACAAACTGCAGAGGAGTGTGGACATTCACATACCTGAGATGTTTCCTTGCCCAGCCAGAAGTGAATGTCCCACTCCAGAGCCGTGCTCCTCTTCTTGGTCTATCAATATAGGCACACACATCAAACAGAATGCGTACCGTGGCGACATACACGACACACACACACACACACACACACACACACACACACACAATAGCAACAGCATACATCAGGGAGTACTTTGAAGTACTAAAAAACAGCGTTTTAGTACTCCTTGGTAAGTCTGCACACATGGTACAGGACACAAATACATGAGCCATGGCAATACACACACAGTGCAAGTGTCCGTGACTGGAAAGTCAAGTCTGGGCCAGTGTGTGCAAAGGACTTTGTGCAACCATTCTGCACACAGTACATCAAACTGCGGTGCTTTTTTCCATGCCCAAGCGATTACAAGCAGGGAGTCGTAATCTCGTAAATATCGGTATTTTACGACTCCCTGATTACAAGCTTTGAAGTCAGTTGCCATTCAAATGCCCACCACTAGCTCTACACGGTTGAGTAAGCGGTCACGTGCTCGTGTGTAACACCAGTCACCTTGTTACCATGGTCACAGTGCCTGCACAGGCTGTAGGCTACAATTTTCACACCAAGGTTCAACTCAAAGGTTCAAAGGTTCAGCTCGAGTGGCAGGAACGTGCCCAAACAGGCTGGAAGAAAGTTGTAGCCTGCGGGCATGGTGACCAGGTGACTGTTGTACGCATGAGCACGTGACCGCTTGCTCAACCGTGTTCGATTGGGAATAAGGGCCGGACGTTGCATTGCAGCCTTTTCGGACCGAAACCAGTCGACTCAGCATCCAAAAGACTACAACATATGGGCCAATCGGGGTCATCCGTGCTTTTATAAGAACGAAATGGCGCTTTTAGTGACATTTTGCATACAAATCCCCATCTAGTAGGGCGCAGTCACCCAGTTTTGGTGGAAGTGGCGAGTTCGATTGGGAATAAAGGAGAAAGGGAGCATCTCAGCTTCCTCGGACCAAGACCATTCGACTCAGCACCCCGAAGACTACAACTACTTACTGGTGAAAATTTGGTTCTAGGGTACACTGCCCTTAGCATTGCGTGTTCATCCTTTTAATTTTTTCTAATTAGAACTCACATTCAGAATGATATACGAATCACCGGTGTGGAAGTCGCCATAGCGGTCCTGCGGCCACTGGACCACTTTCATATCCTGCAGAAAAAAAACATCAGGTGGAAGAAACATGCAATGCATCACTGTTTGTTTGCAGCGAACTCCCTTTCATTGCCTACTCCACAATGAATACCGCGTCGACCAGCCTAGGACCTGTTGACCATGATGACGTTTCCCCAAAACAATGGCCTAAACTCCCGGAAAGATGGTTGATTCATAACGACACAGTCATTAGCCATTGCTATGAACTCTGAGTCCACCAATCAAACTAATTCAATCCGTTCGTGATTCAAACTACAAACAGCTTGTACTCAGCGATGCGACGACGAATGGAGGAAGAGGTGTCCTCCATCGTAGATCTACTTCGCAGTGCGGTAGCGCAGTAGAAGCCAATGTCACAACAGTCAAGCGCCTGAAATAAGTTCACGTGACCATATCCACGACGGAATCCGGAAGGTCATCTTGATTTTACTGGATCATGGACAACATCTTTAGTTTAGAACACATTTTGAAAATGCCCCCTGCATTGCATCTCTGTCAGACACTGACTTCTTCACTTCAGAAGTTCAGTGCTGCAAGCGGTAGGCGATAGGCTGTGTACTCGTACTCGTAGTTTTCCATGATGTCACAACTGATTACTGCTTCAGATGGACGATTTACAAGTATAATACTGTGGTATCTGTTTTCCGGCCCTTTCCGGGCTTTGTGCCCTGGTGCGGAACGCCTCTGCCTCTTGAGTCTTGTCCTGGCCTATGGCCAAACACATGATTCACGATATGCCTAACTACTCCGTCAAGTACTTTGTACTTGAAGTTGAAGTAAGAAACCCAAAAAATAATTACAACACCAATCAGCTGGGCACAATGCGCTGCTGATACCGGATGTTTCGCCTACGTAAATAGTTTGATTTGCAGAGCATTGTCGTGGCGGCCTGTGACGTGACGCCGGTGTTTCCAAAGCTCATTTTGTGTGCCGCTGAGACAGGGATCACTTGTTGACACTTCAACAATTTAGAGTGGCGTAACTCTGGGTGTGCTGTTGTCTAACTAACTAAATTGGCGATAGCACTGCGCGAAGTGAATACGTGAATCGTCCTGGATACTTGTGAACGCTAGGAGCAAGTCCTCCTTACTCAGAATCTTAGCCAAGTACATGACACAATCACTATCAACGCAACCGCATTGAGCTCGTTCAAGACATCATGTTTTCCACAGGAGTGTTCCATACTGGTGATGTTCCTGAAGCCCTGAGCATTTTCACACGCCTTAAAACGGTTCAAGGGAATCAGCAAGTGAGATTGTCCTACAGCAACGCTTTAACCCGGCGTTGCTCCAGTAGTACACGACAATACTCCGTGTTCTCTACTGGTAAACTGGTATATCCTACACTGATCACACAGCAGTCACATCGTGGTACACACCCTATACTATACTCTATAGTCTCTACACCATGTACATGATCTTCTGGAACGCCTCAAATCATAATTGTTCACACGACGATCTCAGCGAGTGTATGGTAGGCGACCTGGCACTCACCTCAATACGCCATATCTGCAGTCCTGGCTTCTGGCCCACTCCCTTGAACGCAGCATCCGCCATGTTGCCGTTACTAAAAGGCACAGTGATGGTAGAGGTACACTGTGTACAATAGACTGATAATATTCAAATGCAAACAGAGACTGGATCACGGTTCATTCAGAAATGATGGTAGCGGTCAGATGAAGAACGTTTTATAGCGGAGTGAATGCGGGGTGCTGACCATCCGGTGTGGTCATTTCCACCAGGGCTCAAGCTGGGATCGGACTTCTCGTCAGTGCTGAGCGTCAGAGGCGATCGATTGTTCGCACTGAATGTATTGCACTTCTCCGTGTTGGTGATAGAGCAAGGGAAGGTGGTATTGATTCCTCGGGGTTCAGTGATAAACCTAGCATAGGGCATCTCGCAGGCGGTGGGAATATGATGCATAACATTCATCCTACTGCACAGATGATGAGGTACTCCCTGGACCGGCACAGTCCAGCACATTACGACAACACCAGTATAACAATCACCAAAAGTCGCCCTCTTAGGCATCATGGCACACGCGCATACACACATACACACCAGCACTTACCCGTGCTTCTTCAGTCAACGACAATCTTGCACTTGTTCTCACGTCGATTAGCTCAAGGACTTTCCCACCCGCTGCTACACTGATGGTCGATCCAACACAAGCCTTGGCAAGAAGAAAGGCTGGAAAAAGGCCTCTGCAGACCTCTATGCACACTGCAGTGGTGGGGTCGATCTATTGCGTCAGCCAGTCTCCGTTACTGCTAACTGCGCTGCTAGCGTCGGTGAAGGCAACCAGTCCAGAACAGTACCTGGTCAGGACATGTCGACAGGTCTTCGCTAGCTTCCACGCCATTCGATGTCGCCTCCGTGATGGCCGAAGTCCTGGTGCCACCCATTTCGATGGCTGTCATTCGTGATGTAAACAGGTCCTAACGTAGTGCCGATATTGACACTTGCACACACACACGTGCATCTGCCCGACAATGTTGATCATGCATAGTGCAGACCATACTGCATACAGTGCTCATCACAGCTCCATACATCTATTGCCAGATCCTGTATTATGGTTATTGCAATGGCTGTGTAGCCAGCTGGAAACCGCATAGCAATGGTAGCTGTTGGTATGCGCAGACTCCAAGCGGACGGATGAGTGCTGTAGCCTGCTTAGCACTGCCACGTTATGCACATTCCGGGGCCAGACACGGATGTCCGACACTTCTATTTGGGAATGCTCAGTGGGTCGCGACCAGCTCATAGAACATCATTTTCATGCGATATGCTGATGCCGGGTAGAGCGCGACCAGGTGCGTAGGTTGTGGCCGGGAAGACTTCAACATGGACGCCTGGGTCTGAGCAAAATGCAAGGGGCATGCCGACGTTGCGATGCAGTCTGCTACGTTGTCGCCATTTGCCTGCCACGGGCAAGGCGCTGTGGTTTGCGCGCACGCGAGTTGCACTTATCCCAACACATGGGACGTGGATCAATGGCTGTGTGATGTCACCCGAATCAGCTGAGCTCCAGCTCAACCAGTCACTGGCAGCCATTGGCACTGGCTGCCACAGTGTCTTTGGGCTTGGTGTCAGCTTTCACTCCTCTGAGACCGTATAAGGTGTAGATCAGCGGTGGTGTATTGTAGAGGTCTCACACGGTATCACCATAACGAGATCGATCTTGTCAATAATGATGCATGTGTGCAATGCCATACTGCTCGGGGCAACTTGTATCTATCGTGTCGACCCTAATGTCCTACGTCTATTGCATGCGAAGCAAAAGGTGATTTATCATTACTTTCAGAAGTACATGTAATTAAATTTGTAAAATCTACCAACCATAGGCTCGCTAGAGTTACCTGTATGCCTTATGTGAATTTTGGTTAATCCTTTGATGAGCAGCTACCATCACTCCCAGAACGTTCCTACTTTTCTTGTAGGATAAATACTGGACATCGTCGTGGGTATTCTTCAATCATCAATCATGCACGCGGGGTTTACAGATTCATAACTTTCATCTTCTACTTACATGTAGCCTGTAGGTCATGCTGTGATTACAATACAGCAGAAGTCGTCTTCATATAATGAGGCAGATATGCCTGTTTGTTGTACGACTTTAAATAAATCCAACCAACCAACCAATACAATGCACATTCCATTTTCCACCTCCAGCTCTGTTGGGAACTAGACATTGTGTCGAAAAGATCCGCACAATAGTGATGACGGTGAACAAGGGGACAATTATTAGTGGCGCATTACCAAGAAAAAAGAATTAAGCTCTCTATATGGCCAAGTCGCAAAGGTACCGGCTGAACAATGCCTGTGTTCATCTGGTTCAGTGTTGTATGCTGATAGCATCTCATCAGGTGTTTGCTGTGTAAGAAAGTCACAAAAAGGTTGAATGCTTCCACCTGTCTCTGTCTTCGCGTCCCAGAAGACCGAACAAACTCAACAAACTCAACATTAAAAGTATCACGGTGTAGATCTACACTGTACGTTTCCTTCCTCCCGCTTTCTTCACCAAACCAGCTGCTTTCTTCGCCAAGCCAGCCAGTATACTATGGAACTAGTATCGCCGTCTCTCACTTCTAACGTTATATCCTGTCTCCCCGAATTGGAACATTCCCTCTGCCAGCACTATCGCCCATACCCTCACGACACGTATGGTATACCGGTATCAGCCCCTTCACTTTCTCAATATGTCTGTTCAATGCCGGTTGACGGCACACTTGAATCGCTGAAGATCTTTCAACTTCGGAGGGTGCTGCAGAAGGTGGGCAGGCAGTGAATTCCATAATATCAATCGCATAGTGCGGGAAGGAGCGGATGGTAATGTTCGGTGACGATGAAGGCAGAGGTGACGAGAGTTGAAACTGATGCAACTGCCGGGCACTGTGCTGTTGGCGAGTTCTTGGTGGATGAGTGGTTGGCAAGCCGCATGGACGGAGGAAGTATGGCAGCAAATTGGGGAAGCACACTAAGTTATCACACTGGAGTTTGTACAATCACGTACAATCATGTGTGAGATGTACGTCAGGGCTGATACAAGTCGTCTCAGAGGAAGCGGGCTCTGATGATGGTTTCCATCACATTAGAGATGATGGTAAGCAGTAACACTGGTAGATAGTTCTTCAGTACAGAGTGGGAGGAACGTTTTGCACCGGCAAAACGTTGGCTACTTTCCACCTGTACAAGTCATGTCCATGCCCTCGAATACAGAGGGCCCGAACCGGGGCTTGACCCAATTACATACGTCGATACTCAGTTCAGAGGTTGCAAGACCGGAACTCTACTAACCGGTTTATGGTTGCAGTCAAATCGTACCCCAACTCTTTCTGTCTGTCTGTCTGTCTGTCTGTCTGTCTCTTTCTCTCTCTCTCTTTCTCTCTTCTCTGTCTTGTCTTACTTTTTTTCTTTGTCAGCTTTCCTGGTGGTTATATGCTTTCCAAGTAAATAAAGTCAATCTCTTCTCAAAAGACTAAAGAGTGTGTCCTCCGCGATCCGCCTTGTTGTACACAATGTCATGACTGTATTGTACTCAGTCCGTCTTTAGAAACGAAAACCAAAGAACTTCTTTGGTGCTTCATGTGAGGCTATAGCCTATGGCCTATTACACGTGTACATCAGACTGCAGTATCGATATTTTCTCTTTTTCTGGACGTGCTCACACTTATAAACTGTACATTTTTTTTTTTTACTACAAAGCACTGGCCAGCAACATAAAAGGGGAGGTAGACAAAAGTGGACAAGCGAACTTTGACAACACAGAGGAGCGTGGCATGCGTGCCGATGAGGTAGGTCAACCTCCCCCGACCTAGTGGTCTCGGGTTCAACAGTTGGTCTACGCATCAGGAAGGGGAAATGGACAGAGAAAGGGAGAATGAGCATGAGGAGCTTCCCAGGAGAGGAAGAGTGAGAGAGAGAGAGAGAGAGAGAGAGAGACAGAAAATGATAATAATAGAGACAACCGGTTATTCTCAGTGCTGGTGGACTTCAGTGGCCCATAGCCAATTGGTCTGGCGGAGGTGATGGTAGGCCTTGGTCTTGAATGTCGGCAATTTCTTGAGAGTTGGGCGTTCGGCGAGGATTGGGGCAGGCAGTGTGTTCCAGCTCTCCAGGACAAAGTATGGGAAGGAGCGGCGGATGAACTCTGGACTGGAGGCTGGCAGAGGAGTTGCGAGTTGGAAAGAGTGGCCACCGAGGGACTGGCGTTGCCGGCGCGTCCGGGGTGCAGCGTTAACTCTTGCTGGGGGAGGTACCATGTTGGTAAGCAGAGCTGGACCTGGTATGCATTGCAGCTTATACAGGTAGCACAGCCCGTAAACATGCCTTCGGATTGCCAGGCTGGGGAGCAATGAGGGGCCAATAACCTTCATGGCTCGACGCTGGACCAGGTCCAGCTGATGGAGGTGACAATGTGCCGCACTTGCCCAGACGAGAGGGGCGTACTCCATTATAGGCCGTACAAATCCTTTGTACACAGTTAGGCGCCCTGCACTGTCCAGGATCCGAGATGCCTTTCGGAGCAGGCCGAGTCGCTGGTTGGCTCTAACGGCAAGGGAACGGATGTGGGCCCAGAAGGAGAGAGTACTGTCAAATAACATACAAATACAGTCATGGTATTCGTATTAGATAAACCTTGTTTGTTCAAACATGTTGTTGGTTGACAGCATGTAGCAAGGTAAGTAAGAGCTGAGATAGGGACGCCATACTGGCATAGGCAGAAGTTGGAAGAAGAAAAAAAAGAATGGACTCGGATGGAGAGCCAAGGTGGCTCTGGTGGAGTTAGTGGACATTATACTTATAGCGTAACTTGTAAGATAGTTCCTTGCTCCTTTTATTTTTTATAAGAAAAAGAGTTTAAAAAAGAAGAAAGAAGAACAATTCAGAACAAAATTAGCTACTAAGTTTATGATTATCAAGGAGACATTCAGGAGCGAACACAGATAAGAATACAAGACTGACGGTACGAGAAGTCTAAAACAACTCCCCTACAATTGTAGAATAGAGAGGGGCAGAACCGCGTCTAACACCCATACGGTTCAGATGGTCGCAAGACCGAGGGCTCTATCAACCGTGGATGGTTATAATTATTACTAGAATTAGAAAACACACGGCGAGGAGACAATAATTAATTTTGATAACCGCAATCAATAAAACTAGCTGAACCGACATTTGTGTACTTTATTCATGCAATGTAAAAACGGTGGAGACGATTGCAATAAAACGATGAAAATATGAAGAAATCAGTGGTGTAGAGAAAAAATATGGATTCAAACAAGTTTTCGTACAACACTCATCGGGAATCGTCGTTGTACTAAAGAACACTGAAACAAAAATTGAACTATTATAGAAAATCTAAGTAACAGAGAAATAACACTAAGAGCAACAGCAGTGAAATTTACAAGTGTGAATTTTAACAATCAAAGCGAGAAATGAACAAAGAAGAAAGGAAGGAAAGACAACGTGATAATACATAACAGCAGTACATTACACCTAGAACATTAACGGCCAAGCTTGGCCGCACTAAACACGACACGTTACTTGAACAATTTCAACCCAATTATACTATCTTTCTGTACACACAAACTTTAGTTAGGCTTATACAGACGCTGATAGATAGCTTCCAACACTTTTAACTGTAGTCCATAACCATGACGACCACGGCACAATACAGTGAACGAAGAGTCGGAATACGAATTGCAACAATCAGGACTAGCTAGCAGATGATTGTACACTGAAGACTTGC